GGGGGGGGCAATTATCGACGATCGATCGCCCGGAAGGGCATTCGGCATTTCTGTTGAATGCGAACATTAATGGGATTAGATTTTATTAGGTGTGAAATAGTTCCAGCCTTATCGTATTAAAACGGCTCGTTTACTACGATCCTCTATGTTCACGTGTTTTGAGTATTTTTTTATCTTTCTATAGATTTTTTTGGAGTTTCGTCTTTTGACGGCGCTTCGTTCCGGGGATATATATATATATACATATTGCGTTAGATGCGACGAATAAGAATCGTTCTTGGAGACGGGACAGCTGTAATATTTGTTTTCGCACCGTTTCCTAGACTGCTGATGCTTATTGGTGCCTTTTCCGTTCCTTTTCATCTCTATTTACAGGGTCGATGTGTTCGTAGAGACTATTTAAAGGGAGGGTCTTCCTTATTGGCAGGAATGCCGTGCCAGTTAGGTTAGGTTCGTCGTGTCTTTCTGGGAGACAAAGAAGCTGCGACGAGCATGGACGCTGAATGGGGATGCTGTTGTAACGATGTTAATTTGAGTATAATTCATTGAAATTTTTATGACCGGTCAGCCCTTTGATCGTACGTTAAAATGTAAAGGGTCGATAACGAACCGTGGAGATAAAACGGATCTCACACAGTCTTAAGAGCAGTGGGAGACTCCGGGAATCATGACGTCTTTGGCCAAGTGTGACGAGGCTCGTGATTAAAAAGGTGTCTGGTAGGTTTTTTTCATTGGAAAAAATAAATCCCAACGACCTAACAGCCCATTTCACAGTACATCCTACCGATTCCTTGGGTACGTTTAGGTTAGTTGTCTTTGGTGAATTACGAAAAGCGAACAGTGAAGTTTTATCGCGGTTCAAATCGAAGCGGGAATTCCAGTTGCGGTCACGTGGTGGGGCACTCGTGCCGCGCCATTGTTTTTACGTTTTCTCAGCGAAGTGGAAAGCTCGTTTCCGGCGCTCGGCTGCGGCCACTTTCAGGGACACGGAAAAATGCACGGCCCCTGCACTCCGAAGTTCCGAAGCAGCAGGCGACGAAGCATGAATGACTGGTGTGAATTTTTTTTTTCAATTTTTAAAAAATACTAAAAAAAATTTATAAGCGACAACAATAATCGTACAGATAAATTGTTGTCTATTCATTATTATTGTTATTGCCCCAGGAGGTATACAAGCTTCCGCCATTTTTTTTTACTAGAGTATGTACCAACCTTGTAAAGGACAACCCTTTCGTGTCTATAGAAGCGCTCATAGCGTTAATTGGACTTTTATTTCCAAGGGAACGACATTGCGTAAGAAGAGAAGCAGCAGCAGCCTTACAAGGCACCAAGGAGCTAATTACCCATTAGAGCAGCTCGGTTGACCGATCGTTCTCTCGTATACCCAGTTTAAAAAAAGGGCCATTCACTACTCGGCTTTTATAAGCAGCGACCGTCAAAAAGACGTAATAATACTTCCTAGTGTAATAACTTTACGAACAAAATAGTCTGTACTTCCTAGAGACGTTGATTGCACACGTGCGTATCGCATGACTACACGCGTTCACGTTGTCCCAGCTAAGAATTTCGCATGTCTCACTCGCCGCATGAGAATCTAACATTCTAAACTTTCTATGAGTCAGCCGTATAATACCGATTCAATTCCACGTTCCTTGATCGTTACGCATCCCGTAAGTGGCTTTTCTTCTAAGGTTGGCACGCTGCACATCCGTATTCCCAGTGACAAACGTAATGGCAGAATTCAAATATTCTTTTTGTTCCGTCCCCCATAATCCATATGCAGTCGCATAGAAATTCTGGAATCGTTCCGCCACGACGGACCGGGCTTTATACAAGTTTTAACAGGCCGCCCGCGTCCCGATGCAGCTGTGTTTACAATCGGGTGCGTCAGCGACCGTGAGCTGCGAAGGAACGCGCTTGAATCATGCATTGTATTTCGCCAGGCATTACTACGTGAGTCCTCGACGCAGTTCCTACGGGGCAGGAAAATTACGCAGGGAGAGACATTAAAGACCGGAATGATAAGCATCGACTGTGTCGCGTTCTCTTGGAATGAAAGGTTAATTGGGTCGCTTGGGAAGTCTTATCGGTCTCGAACCTTCTCCTGGAATAATAAACGATAAATCATCGCCGTACGTAGAATTGGCGAAAATTCACGGGAGAATAATTTCTCGCGATCATAAGGCCAATGGTATACAGCGTGTTCTTTATTATCAGATGCATATTATATACGTCTCACTTTTACCATGCTGCACATCCATGAGTCTCATGACGCAATGAGACGGGATCAATCGTTGGAGTCAAGTCGTAATAATTGTCACAATCACGAGGATCCTCGCTAACCCACCGTCCGATTCCATTCTCGTAGCATCATTATGTTCGGAAGCGAAACGACTCGAGTCAAGTGAAGTATTAAGACTGTTGGAGGAGTTTGATCCTCCAATGGAGGATGACCATGCATTAGTCCGAGGTTCGTTTCACGGTATGGTGGGCAAGTTCGTGTCATGAGAAAATCATTGGGAGATAATGAAAAAGAAATTTTCTAATTTCTATTCTAGAATAGTCCGGGAAAAATTATTATGAAAATAAATATTATCTTTTAAATACCCCATCCCATGGCGCATTATCAGTTATCGGAGTACCGTGTGTGTATTTAGGATGCAGCTGACTCGCGATCCTTCTGTTACTTTAATTAATTACAAAGAACGCCGTTCGCTCGGGTGGCGCTGCGGGCGTACGACGTCATCGAAATTGATACCACGTGATCGCTGATAATTTCAATTGCTCGGAAATTATTTTGATTAATTTTTCACAGAGTTTACGCTCAATGGCGGCATTGTCCTCGTGGGCTTTATACTGTCTGTGGTATATGGTCTACGAAATTAACCGATGTTCGGGATAAAAAGTGAGAGGCGTCTCTAAATAGATGTGCCCGCTGGTCCATTGGTCCGTGATGCTGTGTGCCCCAAGATCTTGAGAACGTCCGATACAGAATTATTCGAATGAAGTTTTGTCCACGGGATCATTGTGGGTTTATGGAACCGTGCGGGGGGAAAGGTTTAAGTGAATTTCAATAATAATAATAATAACCGAGTATTTATATTATTATATTGTTATGATTATGTCGGATGGTCGGAGATCATTTTGGAATCTGATGTACCACAGTTATCCGCCGTGGTTGATGAATTAATGGATTTCACTGACTTCTCATTAGACCCCTTTAATCACTCTTGTTTACTCGATAGTGCTTAATTATAGTTCAATTACTGGCTGACGCATCCGTTCGCAATGCAACGATTACCAATAAATTTTTTTTCGCTATTGGAAACACGGACGATATACACGTAGCTCCAGGATGGCGTAATGCCGAGGAAGATTGACCATTGAGTAGCAAGAGACGCGACAGTCTCGAAGTGTTCCGTGTATCGTGTAGACGCGCGATTCGGTTACGGGGTTTCGGTACGTTAATCCCCTGTCGATTAGCCGGGAAAATTAAAAAAATACGAATTTCTTATAAGTCGTATTATTCCTAGTAGATTTTTATATAAAAAGTATTTTAATAAGTTGTCAAATGCGAGGAATTTTCATAATGGAGGAATACGACGCATCCTCGATGTCTGTGGGTGTACTGAAATATTTTTGAAAAATGTGGAACGAAAAATTATATATATGTATACATTATGCGGTGTGGCACGTTTATTAAAAATTTTTCATACGAATACTAAAGGGAATTTACATTTTCCTTTCAGATGGAAAACCACGCGTACGAGGACGAACCATCCTCGCCGTGTACAGTCACGCGAGAATACACTCGACTCGAGGAGACTCCTGTGGCGAATGTAAATTCGATTCAGCCAAGGGAATTATTTCGAGAATTGTCAGAGTCACATCCGGACGCACATGTCTACGAGGACATAGCATCCGCTCTTACCGATGAGGTCTTACGGTTACCGTCAACAGTGCCCAGGGAGATGCCGAGAGAGGACGAGGATGATAATTACGAGGGGGAAGTGAACGACAGGGAAGACATTTTCAGTATATCAAAAAATGTGCCGTGCTCGAGAGCCAATGGAAACTTACCTGGTAGCGTGGAGAGTTTAAATTCGTTTCATCGAAATTTAACATTGCCACTTAGAAAATCACGGCCTAACGAAAAGACTGTAACCAGCTCGGCGTGTGTTATCAGCAGGGAAAAAACGAAGGTACGGTCGGTACAGGAGGGACCGCCGGAAGGTAGAGATAACTTTGAAGTGGAATGTGTGCCAAATTCCGGGAGACACAGCAGAAGACGTAGAAAGAAGGATTGCAAGCATTGCAAAAATAAAATAAATTCAAATCACGTCGAAGACGTTAAGCGGCACGAGGACGTTATCGATGGATGTGCGAATAGATTGCACGAGGACCTTAATCCTGGGGTGATAACGAAGGATAACGAGAGGCCAAATATCGAGCCGATCTTTTCGTTGCCAAACGGACGTTTACCGAGTTTCGTAACGTCGCGACACGTCAAAACGGACCCCAAGACGTCCACGGTCTTCTCCATTAGCAACAATGTAAATAATGCAAACTCAATGGCTTTTAAGCAATTGAATTACGATAAGAACGACATCGAAGCTAGACTCACGCGATACGAGGTCGACGATAAGATCGCTGTCAAGGGTAAAAAAAATCGCGGAGGGATGAAGATCAATTCTATCTACTCCCAGGAACACTGGAGCGCGAAGGATACGCCGATATTTCTCACGGAATCGAAGGAGCAAGAGCAGAGTCCGTTCCAGGTAATCGAACCGTAGTAATCAGTTTTTAAATGGTAAGATCGTGTTTCTTTTCTAACTGTCTATACCTATATTTAGAGTTAAGGATTTTCTGGCATTAGAGGTCAATCACTCAAGTTTGACAGCTGTCATGCAATTTTTTGTTTTATGGAATTTTTATGCAGACATGCCAAATTTTTGTTGGTGCTTTTGAATACTTTATCTGCGTCCATTGCAAATACTAATGTACAGAGGTCGCTATTGATGCGTTTAGTTCTCGAATTTCTCGTTAGAGGGTCGTTGGTGCTTGTCTGTATGTGTATGGTTTCTCGCATGCAAAAGTTACATTTCCAAGGGTCATAGGGCGGGTCGAACTGTGTCAAAGCATACTTACCTGGCGCAGAGGTTACCGTGATCATGAAGGCGGTTCCTCCAGGGCGAGGCTCTTCCATTGCACCACGGCTGAGCTGACCCTTGCGAATACCCCTAATGTGGGTATCTCGGGCGTATAATTTTTGGTAGTCGGGACTGCGTTCGCGCTATCCCGGACATAATATTATTGCAAACATAAGTTTTTAGGAATATAAGAGAGTACTAGTATTGTGAGTAAATTAACTTTACTTTAATGATCAATAAAAGTTTAGTTTAATAGATTTACATGCAAAATGACATTTTCGTTGTGGGGTTTGCAAAGATACTATTATTTTAACTAGTGGGATCGATTAATTTTTTGTATCGTTAAAAAGTGTTACTTTTTCACCAAATGTAAAAATCAATATAAAGTTTCCATTACTAATGAAACTTTTAGTGGGTGTCATTTATATGAAATGATGCCTCGCATTATTTCTAAAGGCAACCAATAAACTTAGGGGTATTAATAGAGTTTAATGAGAGAAGCGCGGGCCATGTGTTTATGATTTAACTTAGAAAATACCACAATACTCGATCATCGCCTGAGATCACAGAGAGACAAAAGTGAGGCTCTTCTTAATTATACACGACGCCACTCTCGGCCCGTCATAATAATTTGTCTAAGCGCCCGTCGGCCTAGCGAGACGATTTTAGAAATAAACCAGAAAAATAGAAATACGTCTGCATCGCAAGAAAGCGTAGGCTGCTAGACAGTATAAGATCTTACCTTATCTTTTTGCACCTGACCAAGACACACTTAACGACATTAAGGGAAAAATAAATAAATTTATCCACTTCCTGTCTGAGGCACGTATCTTCATTTTTTTGGTCTCTTCATCCTCTTTTATGAATGGAAGAGCGGGGCGAGGGGAGTCGGCTAACGTCTCTAATTGTAAATTCCTTGCAAATATTTGCATGCGTCACGTAAATTTCCTTGGATTTATTTTTCCACGTGACCGTTAATTCCCGTCCTTACCTATACTCATTCTGGATCCACAAAAGGTTATCGCACGCATCGTTAACGAATTCCCTACGGTTGAAAAGTTAACGAGACCGATCGTGGGCGCGTTTGGCGCCACTTTAACGTTCTGTGTTCGAACTCCACGTCTATTTTCGTCGTAGAAACGAGCGGGCGACAAACGAGGAAAATTGCGAAAAGCGCGTTCCACGGACACTCGTGGCGACGCGGAATAATATGTGAAAAGAAAAAAGGACAAGATTCTTAAGGAAGACGTTCGTCGCACTTGACGAGCAACACCCACGAGCACGTGTACAACAGGGAGGTCGACGTAGACTTACCCCGAGACGTTATTTACGTAACAAACATCGGCAATAAGACATTGGCTAAGAATTTCTAGTCTACTGACTTAACTTGGTCGTGGCTTGAATTATGTCACTTCTGTAAACACGCGCGGCGGCCATACGACTATCGCCATTTTGTTATTTATGTTATGTTAGGTGTAGACTCTAGATTCTCGACTCTGTGTTCCAGTGTTAAGCGAAAGAGGTCGGGACGGTCGGAATCTACAATTTTTCCTTGTCCTTTGAAGCTTCAATAATTTTAACAGCATGCGACGGTTTTCTATTTTTATTCACTCATATCTTAGGTTCCACCTAGTGTCAGTTTTGCTAAACTCGTCTGTCCCGACGAAACAAAACGATCGGAAGTGGCGCTGCATCGTCGAGAATGACTATTAATAGAGTGCCGGAAGCGGGACTCACCGTATCTTGAAGCGTCTCGACGCGGAGGGTGCTGGTGGCTACGTACGACCACACTCCTCCTAGGGAAGATCCCCGGCGACCCACCGTACTCTTATAGCACGTCAGTCGCGAATTTAACTGGCCGAACGGACGGTGCCTCGCGCTTCTATACTCATCGGAATCACATTGTCAGACCGTATCATTGTGTTATACATGGTGGAACCTGACGACATGATATAATCTAATTACACTTTAAAGGAAGACAGATCCATCTTCCTGGAGATTATTGTGTTATATTCGACAGAGGATATTGTGTCTGTTTAAAAATAATGCCATATCGATGGCTGAGCTCCAGGTAAATCACGACGAAAATATCTATCTCTTATATAGACGCGTCTGGGGAAACTGGAATACAGAGTGCGACAGGTGTCGTGTTAGAGAGGGACACGAGGGAGAGGGTAAACAAAAATAATATGAATTTAAAGCAATCGGATGTTACTATTTTTAAATATTATTCTAGTCCATCCACTATTTGCCTTATCTTTGATTCTCTCATGGCTGTCAGATTTTATATATTTCTTTTATTTACTTACAGAGGGCTTATTCCCTCCCCGCCCGAACCCATACACCATCCTCGCAGAACCGGGTCAATCTACGACGTAGCGTTAGGGGTGAGCCACCACCACATCCTGCAAGACTTCGTAAGCATCGTCATGGCTGGACGCTCCATTTTGCAAGGCCTCTCAATGGAACGGGATGCACTAGGTCTATCGTTGTCCTTCTCCTGGTGATACTTATTCTCCTAGGAGTTGGCGGTGTGGCTCTTTACATAGTCTTCGGTGAGTTTCCTCAAAATTAGTTCGCACCAATGAGACTGAAGGTATACTTTTTCCTTTCCTTCAAAGTGATTCTAAGTAATTTTCAAGTGGTCGTTAAATCACTCAAGGTTGACCGGTAAGTTTTGGTGCGAGACTATGCGGTTCCAGCGAGTTTTTCTCACAGAAAATTCTGGGTGTCACGTTTTACGCTTTTCGGCTCTGTCATGACGCATTGTTCCTGGTCAATGTCATCTTGTGATACGTGCGAGCTGTTAAATCAAGAAGGGTCAGAGGAATAGCAATATGCAGTAAAATTAAACGAAATTTTTATCCTCGGCCAAACCCTACTCTGACACGGACCTTCGTGGATGCGCCTTAAACTATGCATTTATAAATACACATACAAAAAAATTCCAAAGGATGAGCCTCGTGGCGCATCTTTTTTTATATTGTTTTTTTTGCTCGCCACATGAGTTATAGTCGACTTATCCTTTATTTTGGTTACGAGAACTGGGCAACGCACCCTGATGACCAGTTCTCAGATCACCGGCAGAAGTCTGTTTCCTTGTAGAACCCGATCCCAAGAAAGTTCATAAAAATTCATGGGAATCGAATCCATTCTCTTTCAGAGCCGGACAAGCTTCAGATCATTCAGCAGTACCTGAAGTCATCCGGGCAGAACGTCTCAGCAAGTGAGAGCTCTTCCGAGACGACAATGATGATGATGATGGACGTCGTCGTCGACATAAGTAATGACAGTACGAGCGAGCCAACAACTATGAGGACAACGAGCTTTATTCCTGAATATACAGTAACGTCACTTCCGGAGACAACAGTGTCACCGGAACCGGAAGTAGATGCCAACCGCACAGAGATAACGCTGGATCTGAATGCCACTAGGTACTGCGACGATTGCGTAGTCGGTGAGGTCTGCGTTGCTCTCGTAGACGAGGAAGTTCCTACCTGCAGAACTGGCCCGGATCCTCATGATCCCACAGGATGCGCTGGACTATGTCTCATCAATAAACAGAAATGCCACCGTCTCGACGTGGACGCGTTCAGGTTGGTTGGAGATGCTTACCTTCAGGCGTCCCACCCTGGACGGACGCTGAGGAATTTCTAGATATTGACTTTCCCCTCCAACTCTCTCACTTCGACTTAGTTTCTAATGACTCTTTCTTTCCAATCAAGATGCGCCGTGGTCGAGCATTACTGCCTGGATGACGAATGGACATGTTCTAATACACTTTGCATACCGTTGGTCAAACGCTGCGACGGTCATATGAATTGTTACGACCGTTCAGACGAGTATAACTGCGGTAAGATATATATATATATATACTTTGAAACGTCCTACACTGTAATATTACCCCAGTTGCTATCTACCAGCATTATTGGCTTTCCTACTTTACTACTGTTTGTGCGGCTTCCATTTGCTATTTTTGATCGAACGCGTACATAAGTCATATCTCTGGTCTCTTTTGTACCCTCTTCACCCGAGCTGCATTAAGCCACTCCTGCCATCAGAATTCATCCCTAATGCACTTTGGAAGCATCCCTCGCCGGATGCCTCAAAATGTATCTAAACGCGCAATCTCTTCCAATTTCCTTATACCAGTACAGATAAATATCCCTTTGCTTTCAGTGTGCGATCTTCAGACACATTTTCAATGTGGGGATGAAACTTCTTGCCTTCCGCTGGAGAGGAGGTGCGACGGGAAGATCGATTGCTGGGATGCCAGCGACGAGATGAACTGCACTCTTGGTAAGTTTACGCGTCTTCTTCCTGGGTCCCTTGCTATACTGGTACCACTGTGACATCAGGTACAGTCACTGTTTACGGTGCTTGGTAATGGCACCTACGTACTCTACACAAATAACGTATTATTGTGGGTTAGAGCTAAGGTAGATTCTTGTCCTTGCTGCGTTTACCGGTTGGGACAAAACGAAAAGTAGCTTTTACAATAATTATAGCTCATGACGATATCAACATATAACGTTCTCGTTACATGGATTTGAGTTCTTTGTATCTTCTCATCTCTTCCCCTTGTTCCCGTCACGGTTTGCCTGCTATTTCTTTTACGGAAGACTATCCCTCCGCCTAGGAAGGTCCTGGAACTTTCATCGAGTTTTCTGTTTCCTTTGTAGGTCATGATCTTGATTGGTGTGAGTACATTATTGTATATTTGATCGCATGACAATTAAGACCCGGCATGCTTATTAATATTTATAAACCTCGCGTTTACGACTGTACTGCCAATTGTAACAACGTACCCACGTCCCTTATGGAACTATGTATAAAATAATATTCGCATCGTCGTAGTACACAAGGTTTTTTCGCTTTATCACGGTAACGCAATCTCACATGTGTCTTCACGCAATCCTAATTTAAATCCTATTCCTGCATCTTCCATAAACCGCACGCGCACGCTATGACGGCAAATGACGATTATTATTTATTGTTTTTTTTTTTTTATTACTATTCAAGCCTGCCCATTGGACAGTGAATTCACCTGCAGCAATGGACAGTGCATATTGAAGGCTCGCTTTTGCGACGGACTACCAGACTGTGCTGATGGCTCGGATGAACCTCATGGATGTCAGGGTAGATGTAACAAGCATGAATTTAGTTGCCGGTAAGTAATAGCTCTATTGGTTGGCTGACGGTACAGTCCGACATATTAAGAAATGTCAGGTACATTAATTGTTACCTGGGGCTACGCAGCGCTTTTACTTATGTCTGATTAAAGTTGAATAATTATGGAAAGTTATTTCTTGGATAAAAAACATATTCGTGGTCTTACATCTCGCTGTAATAACGTTATACTTCGTGTAATTGGCTGTGGTTGTCGCGTGACTTATTTATTATAGTCTTTTTTTTTTTTAAAGAGAGTCATGACTTATTGAATTATTTCACAATCCAATACTCAATATTCCAATACTGACCGGACGCGAGGTAGCGATTAATTTTGTATTTGATTTTATATTAGGAATGGCCGATGCATTACCAAACAAATGAAGTGCAACGGTATTGATGACTGCGGTGATGGGACTGACGAGCAACACTGCAGAGAGAGATTTACTTAAATGATTTTTAAAGAAAGCTGCAATCAACGCTGGACGATCGCAAGGATCGTTCTATGCCACTGTGGACTTTGTACGATACAGTATTTTTGCCTAGAGATTCATAAATAATATATATACACATATAAATAATAATGTAAAGCTACATACATGGAAATGTATGATAATGAAGAAAGAAGTAAAAAATAAAATAAATTGAGAAGTATATACGTTGGCTATGTATGTCGAATATTTATTATACTCATTCTTGTCAAGAAGCTTTACTAATTTATTCAATTGCAGATTCATACTGACAGTCGATAGCGTCCTCTTTTTCTTTTTATAATTCGATATACATATTCTGTTTTTATTTTTATTGTAGACGTCCTATGTACTGTATAATGCACCGCGAAGGCGAAGTCACTGATATGAAAACATAGTTTAATAGCGGTAATTGAGTATGTTATTTGATAACTAAAAAATCTAGGATTTCACGTAAACTATAGCAATAGATTGGGTGGCGAGTTACAGGGGAAATATTTCTTCTATTCTTTTTTTTTATGTAACACGTTATCCACCATTACGCTTTTTATATAGGTACAAATATAAACCAAACTTCGAAATAGTTAATAGGATTGTTAACTGCGTAAATATATACAGACGATAGTAGTCGACGATAATGACTAAGATATATTTTCATCCTGTTCGACGAGTCCTTACGGAGTGCACTGCGATGATAATCCTGTCTTCTTGATTTATATAAATTCATCAGGCTCTCGGGGTGCGTCGAGGTCACGATAATGGATCACTGGTCGAAAATCTCCACCACCGCCGCCGCCGCTGAAAATTTTGATAATAAAAAAAAAAAAAAAAAAAGAAATAGGAAAGAGTATATAACATAAATTGTATATCGTATTTATTTGAACAAAAGCAATGTAGTTTAAATGTATATCGTCAAAGCGTGCAATTTTGAGAATAGAAATGGACAAAACCAAAAAACTTTCATATCGTGCAGTATCAAAGCGAGAGAGACGTATTGCTGTATGTGTTTGCGTTGAGAAATGAAAAAAATGATTTAAACTTAAACTAGGGTAACGTAGCGACGTAGGACCAACCGGACTAGGAATAATTATTGGAATGAGGTAAAAAAATAAAAGAACGAATAATCAGCAAGGAATATATTTATTTCTTTTCCTTTACGTTAGTCTGCCGTGTCTACGTCGCAGGATCGACCAATTGCCGATGGCTGCTACTTACAGATATCAATTTATAAAATGTAAATTTTTATTGGACGATGGATCGTACGTTCGCTTCGAGAAAAATTATTTAATCGATACGTCACGTGGACAATCTCACGAGACGTTTAATATCGAATAAATTTCGTCTGTTTAATGTAAAATCGTATCTTGTTTGTTATTGTGCACAGAAAGTCGCAAGATAACGGTAAGCGCGGTTAAAAGTTTTTGTGCTGATTTTGTAACACGGTATAAGACAACACTGTGGGAAAATATATGTAAGCGCGAATGGCAAGGTTTTTGGTTTGTCTATTTTCTTTCACTTCCCCATTTTTTCGCATTGTCTCTCTCACTATTCCTTTCTTTCTTTTTTTTTTTTGTGATTTCATGTGTTACGTAATCCAGATAAGAATCTGCTGGCACGAATGACATCCGACATTGTGAAATCGTCCTTGGCCGTATTACCAAGTGAAAAATCGCGGTTGTTATTAAAACTTAGAATATGTCCACGTCAGGCTGGTCCAAGTCGTTATAACTAATAATGGGCCTCGACGTCGAATCCGGAGCAGCCCTGGAAACATTTATCACTACGTACAAAGTGTACTGGGATACAGCGAATGTGTATTTTTGTTTTAAGTACACAGGTACATGCTTGGTTGTTTGGCTGTGTAAACAGTGAATTTTAATAGCTTGACACTCTCGTTGCATATGGAATCATGGTATTTGCCATATGCAAGTGATAAGTTGCAACAGCAACGATTTGTTATGCCAGAAAGCAGCAGTTATTACCGAAGAGATAATTACTTGTAGAAAATTTAGAAATTAACGAATTGGTACACTTCAAAAGTAAATACTTAATGCCTGATGATAATGAAGTTAATCAATTAAAGCGTGCATCATGCAAAAATTATTTTTCTTACCGTCCCCTGTTGAAACCGCCACGATTTGGACGAGGCATACCAAAACCTCCTCCAAAACCACCTCCATAGCCGGAACCGTATCCTCCTCGACCGCCTCCATAGCCACCACCACCGCCGCCGCCACCGCCGCCTCCACCGCCACCGCCGTATCCTCCAAAGCTGAAACGATTGAATTTACGATTAAAACGTGGATATAAATTTGATGTTTTTATTACATAAAATGCTTTTAATTATGCTATCGTTTAAACGCGTTTTTGATATGATACTTACGCTCCACAACCATAAGGTGGGAATCCTTCTCGTGGTCCTTCCCTAGGTGGTGCCTTATTTCCTGGATGTTCAGGAAGCTGCGGTCGCTTAGGATCCTTGAGATAATTGTTGAAATATTCCGCTTCTGCTTTGACCTCCGCAACCTTTTCACCGTGCTTGTTGAAGATATGTTTGCGAATGAAGTCAGGACCCTTAAACTTCTTGCCGCTGAGTGGACACAGCCATTTGTCCTTAGAAATTTCCTGGGTGTTGGCTTGCACGAATTTTTCAACTTCACTGTTAGAAATGCGTTAAGGAACGTTCAAGTATATTATACATGACAATATATAATAACTATTATATCCTTGTAACAGCTAGATTATGAACAACAAATAAAATTCAAGTGAAAAAGGATACGCTTCAGCGTTCTTTGCACCAAGTTTGTCGAATTCTTCAGATGAAAGAGTAGCTACGGGCGCTAGGAAGGCGGCCATTTTACTTTCAAAATTTCTACAGTATTCAGACAACTCGGTACTAGAAACTTTGGTATTGGGAGGAGAGCCTCTCACGTGCATTATTCCACATCTGTTCGGCATCTCATCCTCGTTGGGATATTCGCAGTGATTATAATAATCGACAGAGTGCACTATCCGTAGGTACAAGACTAACCTATCCAAGACCTGCAGAAATAAATTAACATTATAATTTTGTGGGTCTGTGTATATATATAATCTATACATAAAAATAAAAAATTATAAGAACCTTTATGAGATTGGGATCCCTTTCGATTGGTCCATCGCCATCTCCACCAAGTTGCCCTTCTTCCTGATCACCTGACATTCCCAATAGTTCCTCTTCTTCTGCAGATGCCTCTTCAATAAGATAATCTGTAATATTCTTGAGCACAGGATTCTTCGAGGATAATCCAAACGCCTTTAAAAAGAATAATAAATGTTTAACGTAGTTTCATAATTTTTCGCAACTTATCCAATAATTATCTTACAGCTTGTTCGGCTTCGTTGGCGCTTTGAGCTGCTTTATTTTCTTTATCTTCATCTTTCGTGGCATTGTCATCCTTCCTCTCTTCATTCCAGAGACCTACTCTGTTGTCTAAGTTGTGTACAATTTTTGCACTCAGTTTAATATCATGGCGGACAATTTGTTTATGGGACGTTAATCCATTCACGGTACGAATACGTCGAGAAAGGTCTCGGTTCACTATGGCGCCCAGTTCGCAATCACGTAGCTATATAAAACATATAATTAATAAGAGGATATAGACGGATTTGAGGAAATCAAAAATTATAAGTACCCGAATATTATTGAGACTCCAGCAAATCTCCTTGATGTTCACTTGACGTTCAAAGGATACCCAACCGCGACGGAACCAGCGACGTTCAGGTTGTGGATCGGCAATGGCAACACGTAAGAATCCAGGAAAACGTTTGCACATCTATTAAATATAGTTAATATAGAATTGTACAGTTACGTTTTAAAGTCTACCCTCATGTATATTGATAACGTACCGCCTCGACTTCCGCTTTGGTTATAGTAGGAGCCAAGTTTCTGAGGAAGATGCTGCTGGTCTTATGAAGAGCTCGTGGTTCCTTATCTTTATCCTCGCTTGCTAAGTCAATGACTGCTTCGGGTTCTAGTGCATCTTTTTTTGTTTCGACACATTCCACTTCGCCCTTATCCTCCTCATCGTCCTCCTCCTTAGTCTCCTTATCAGCTTCCTTCTCAGACTTATCTGCTGGTTTCTCCTCGGTAGCTGAAACACGTAATGATTGTTTTTTAATTAAATATTTTTCAAAGTATCTCACATTACCGGTTACGTACGAGTATCAGCCTTTGGCGTATCTGGTTTGTTACTGTCACTGTCCGATGAACTACTAATACTAGTACTGCTGCTGCTGCTGTTGCTGTCAGTGCGCTTACGTTTCTTCGAATTGACCTCAGCAGGTTTTTCTACTAAACAAATTTAATAACTGTTAAAAAATGACAGAGCAAAGCTGGCTGGTTGTGATAATGACCATGATGATACTAACCTGTTTCTTCAGACACTGGAGTCTCATCGTCAGCTTTCATTTCTTCTAGATTTTCATCAACCTGTTCAACCGCTACTTCCGCTTCTGCTTCCTTTTCGACTTCTTTCAGTTCAACGTCACCATTTTGCTCTTCCTCATCACCCTTCTTATCATTTGTGGAATCCTCGACTTTTTCAGGATCACTAAATAAAGGAAGCTATTTTATTTATATTCAAATACAACGCAATTCTTACCACTTCCGCAATTCAACGCTTACCTGCTTTCAGGCTTCTTCTGGATATCCACTTTGTTCTTTTGCTCTTTGACTTCTTCTTTCTCCTTAACTGTTACTACTGGCTCTTTTGGCACTGGGTGGTGAAGAGGTTTCGCGTCAAGAACTTTAAGATCCTCTTCAGTACCACCCTCCAACTTTATTACAACTGCATCCAAAAGATGTAAAAGTACATCCGCTTGATCGGCATCCACTGAGACTTTGTCTATTCCACCCGTATCAAGCATTTCCAAAAATACCTCCACACGTTTCTATATTTTGGTATAACAAAAATTTAAAAGATATAACGTTTTGTTATCGAAGACCTAATCTATTGTTAATAGTTTTAATTATTCTACTTACTTTAAGCGCAGATACCTGCTCATACTTTCTCTTGATAGATTCCTCAGGATGGTACTTTATCTTGAACCTGATATCCCGTAAAACAGATTTTGATTATTCGTGTCTTGTTAATAATGAATCATTATAGTAATCACGAGCAAAAATTCTGTCTTGTGAATGTTTGGTAAAACGACTGGTGTGTACCACTGATTAAAGTGTTAGATATACAAAGAATGTTTATTCACTTTCATGATGCTTTCTGATTCATCCAATTGCTTGGGAATTCTCGCCATGGCAATGTGTGTGTGAAAGTAGTCAGAGACAGAAACAAAGAGGAAGATAGAGAGAGTAGAAAAAAGTACTTGGTATAGATAGTATTCTCTTGTAGTATTGTTAATATATAAAATGGGAGCTAATGCCAGGCTAAGTATTAGTTAAACATGGCCCAACGGTAACAGGTCTTAATTGCATGACGTCAGAAGTAAAAATTGTCTGTATAACAAGAAGTGTTCTTTGTAGTACGAAAAGTGGACATTGATCTTTAATATTAACATAGAACGTTGGCATTTAAAGAATTGAAATGAAAAGTATATATAAACGCAAAAAAACTCTGCGCTAATTAAATATCATCGAATTGCATACGCCATTTGATTTGAGCTGGAATATCGGAGGGAGTCATACGTATGTACAACTTCTGTGAGCAATCCGACTCTATCACTATGGAGCAAGTCATTTTATAGAATCGTATAACATATACATAATATAATATGTGGATAATTGTTAAGAAGTACAATGTATCGCATTACTTAATTATAGTATTATGCATTGTGACAATAGTGACAACATGGTCAGTTACGGAATGGAGCCTCACCTGTAGTCTCATACTTTTGCTCGCATTCAGTTTTCTCGACGTTTCTGTGTCTAAGCCTAAGGTCATATTGTTTTCTGAGTTTAAAAGTGTTTAGCGGGTTTAGAACGCGGCCTACGCGAGCATAATTGGGCTTTGCGCGCCCAGCTCGCATATCAATATAATTCTCTCTCTAACTAACAGACAGCTCGAGTCTTCGGTGATGCGCGGATCCGCGATATTCATAAAAAATCGAGCGAAAAAATAAACGGATGTGACGACCTGTGCCCGAGGCATAGGGCGATGGCTGCTGTGTGCTGTAGGGATAGACAGATCTGGTCACATTGTTAGAAGTTAGCTAGAAGACGTGTCTACGATTTTCATCAAAGCAATTGATTAAGCTCGTTTCCAAACACACATCCCATGTACTTGTATTTTTTTACTTGTTATTACACGAATTAGTTCTATGGTGGCTGCAGTCTCATACTTTGCTTATCGATCCTCTGTTGCTCGATGCTCCAAGCATAGGAAGTATTCTTGTTTTCAAGATAATCATTTAAGACATATCAGCCATCGTAGAATATTTTCAATTAAGTTACTATATATTAGAAATGATTACCAAATGATTTTGGTACTGTTTTTTAATAACTGATTTTGTCGAAGACACGTCAAAAACTCTGTGCACTGATATTTATTATAAACCAGAAAAGAATAACCCCAAATCATTAGAGCTACGAGAGACAGAATAATGACTTACCATTCCTCATCTTTGTGTGCCACGAAGAACTCATTCAGCTGCTGTCGTCTGAACTCTAATTTGTACTCGTTATAGCGTTTTATAGCTTCTTCGTCTGTAATGGTGTCCTCTTGTGTCCCAAGGAAAGCTTTGAAGGTCATCATCGGTGGTTGGGTCTCAACATTTGAATTACTGAAGTTTCCACTCACTTCACGACTACTTTGAATAGAGAACGGTCTGTTAGTATGAACAATAATGTGTTAGATAGCTGCTTCATCACACATAATAACACTAGATATACAAACAAGTTTAATTTTGAATAATTGCAAAGATATGGAGACAGCACCTTATCCTAGCCAAAAGTTTGGGAGTTAGACGACTTCGTTTTTGCATGTCAATTATTTATTTTTTATTTGATTCTTAAGATATAATTCACTGAACGGCTTTGTATTGCAAAATTTGCACGCGGAAAAAGAAATTCATGCAAAAAGGGAAATAAACAAACCTGCTGCTGTTACTATGATTGCCATAGTGATGGTTGCCATGGTGAGGTGGGGGATAGTGATCCGGACCCCAAGAACTACCGCCGCCGTAATAATCATGACCGTAGCGCGGTCTATCGTCCCAATCGGTACGCATTCTCTTCATAGGTGGTGCCATTTCTTGGGATCTTGCAGGACTGTATCTTTCACGACCACCACCACCTCCACCGCCCCTGTATTCTCTATAATCCGGCCGTGCACGAGGGCGGCTGGACCATTCTCTGGAATAATCACTATGGTTACAGACATAAGAGTTTATCATCCATTTTGACAAACCAAATGTTATAAAAATTGTACCATTGCGCTGTAGTATAAAATTAGAACATATAAGAAATATTGCTAACGCTTTCAGAATTTCTCACCTTCTTATAGGAAAGCATCCTTTTATAGTAAGAGGCGATGAAGGAGTTGGAAGGGGATATATGGGAAAGGATTTTTCCATAGGGTCGATATCTGTTGTTCTGGAATACCATGTATTCATATTTGATAGAAATATATAAATCAATAACGTAACTGACATGGTTTATTATTTTGAGAAGTGCATTAATATGATAACTTTAACTTACCTATCGACCCATTCTTCTCTACGTCGATCATCTCTACGACCTTCCCTAGAGTATGATTCTGTTCTTTCACCTCGAAACTTATCACGCCTTTTACGATCGTACTCATCATCTGAATCAGCCATGACAGTATGATTTATATCGCCAATTCTGAAAAGTTCGAGAAATTATGTTTAGAAAATAATGTAGTGTATCCATAATATATTCCTTATTATATCATACATTTATATAATGGTATTATAAGTCACACTATTCCAAGAGCTTTAAAAAATTATTAGCTTCAAGTTAAGTTATAAATTAGAGAATTAGTACGTATAAGAGTAGGTATTCGCGTGGCTATTTGCATAGAGCCCATAGGCTAACCTTTCAAGATACAACAGTGAAAGAAAATTATAAGAACCTTATACGCTAAAACAATTGAAAAAAAAATGAAAAAAAAGCTTTAACACTAAAGAATAACCACGCTATAAAATATAAACGTTAGCGGGAAAATTATGTGTAAAATTTACGGCCCCCATCGTCGAACGTCACGAACCCCACGCACCGTATATTGAAACCGGTATCTCTGGATAAAAGATATTCCACGAGAATAATTATTACTTTATTAAATATCAATGTGAAAATGGTTAATATCAATAATCAGGACATAGAACTACTTGCCAAATTATTCAATAAATCTGTTAAAACGTTGCACTGACACTTACCTACTTCACATATACCGTTGTATACCATTCCAGTATGGAGGACGTCCCCACCCTTGCCAAAGACGCGTCAGTTTTATGGCGCTTCAATCGCTTTAAGGCAACTTCTCATGAAACGTTAGCAGTTCAGGTATGGGGCGGCCGTAGCCCAATGGTCAAGGTAGCGGATTCACGATCGGAAAGGTTCTTCGGGGTTCTTCGCGCCCAGCTTCCAACCGCATTCACCAATAGGTTTTCATATGAAAACTTTCAAGTGAGCATTTATACGGATTTCCACCAACATTGTTCGGATTCGGTGTATAAATTCTGTAGGTCCCCTCACGCTCAGTTGGATAAGGCCAGTCTTGTAAGATACATCGCCATCTAGTGTCGAACTTCCAATCCTTGATTATTAGGAGGACCAGTTACTGGCACATGTCCGCCATTAGGGATACAGATTTAAGGAAAGGAAGGAAAGAAGATAGCAGTTTAGGTAGATAAAAACGGATGAGCTAGCTGACGCTATCGATCGTTAGAAGAATTTCAATTATTCAATTAATCATGTCTTAGGTTGGACCCTTATACTAAACGCCAGTGCTCGAATACAAAGCTTTGACTTGTGATAAACACGCTGCGAAGAAAAAATTGACATTTTTCACCGAAGTTTTACGTTCGAGAGCTGACGCCTGTATAAGGATTCAGCTTTAATTTTCAAAACGCTGATTATAGTACCGGTTGCAATAATTTAAAGTGGTATTTATATCGTTTACGCTCATAATAAATTGTTGCAACATAACATAAATAATTGGATCAATATTGATATCATAATCAATTGGAGCAATAAAATTGATCAATAATTCAATTAAATTCAGTTAAATCAGTTAGTTAAATTCAGCTAATTTTCACGACTAAAAGATAGTCGGCAGCAATGAAGATTAAATTTGGCATATAATAATGTCACCATAAAAAAGCCATCGTGCAATAATTGTAGAGTAATCTACAGTATGTAAAAATAAAAATAAATTTTTACTTACTAATCTTGATTACCTAACCCAATTAAATCACTATAAAACACATTTGACATAAAACTTCTTTCATGCCGGCATTTTCAATTATTCTCATCACTTCCGCAATTCTCAATATAATTGTCATCACTTAAGTCAAAATCAATCAGTCACATAAAAATATAGTCTCAGGATTATTAATTAAGAATAAAATAATTATACTATATCAATGGTGATCGCTGGTAACATGGAGACTAGAGTGGAGGAGTCCTTATGTACAGAGATGGGACTCCTCTACTCTAGTCTCCATGGCTGGTAACATGAATTCAACAACAGGTAATTATAAATATGAAGTTTTCGAGGTGTAACCTTCTATTTCGCAATTATAGAAACGTTGTGACAAGAAAGTCCTGTAAAATATAAATGCATACAACTCTAATTATTACTAAACAGCGCGAGCCCATGCAAAGCTAGCATATGATATAATAGTTCCATTCGTCCCAGACCTATTCACCTGGTCACGTGCGGCCTTCCCTTACCAATGCGACCTCTCTCTGACTCACTATAGCGCGACCTCCCTCCCCCCTCTCTCTTTCTCTCTTTGTAGTACCTATTTTCCCCATATCTTTCGCTGGGCTATAATTTCTTCCGTGATATAACTTTGATATCACAGTCAACTGCGTAGTAAATGCGTCAAGACGGTTTGAGCGATGGCGTGTGGTGGGTTGGCGTCGGCATCCCTTACTGCGCTCTCTAGTGGAACGGTCACGTCCTTCTGCGTTTGCTTATGCTGCTCAACTTGGCGCATTAGTGCATTTAAAATCACCGGGTAACTTCTAATCACCTCTGTCGGTAACACTTTGTGCGCCGATTGACGCTTTACGTGGTTCGCGTCCTCTGACGGACGTGGTTTTTCACGTCTAACCTGGTTCGAGTTTCGGGAAGTGACGGAGGTTATAAGTGTAATTGTAGATCCCTTGAGGATCTCCCGACTTCGGTCGGTCGCTGCTGCCAAATGACTGGTTGCGGTCGAGTCCGTTAGGGGTGATCGTGATATTAGTCTGGCTCCCCTTTCCGGTGTTCTACGTCTGCGACCAAAGTATCCGAAAGTGCTTAATCCAAGCGTTTACACATAAGCCTTGTCGTAGCTTGAGTTCTGCGTCTATGGCTAACGTTTGTCTCATTTCGGAATCACCTTCGAAAGTCCTATAGTCCTTTGCGACTATAAGACGGGCCCCAGCTGTCCACGGAGGCTGGACTTAGATTACGTGTTTTTGATCTGTGGACGACGTAGTTCGGACGTTTCATATGATTATTGTTTATAAATGTTCTCCATTTATATCTTTGTATTTCTACTACTTTTTGTTTCAGTGTTCTGCGTATGCGACTAAAGCAGGAAGCAGGTCTGAACCCTTTCGAAGATCCGCGTTCTCTATGACACAGGAGTCCGAAGTTCGTAACACGAGCCTCCGGTGTCCGTGGAGTTACATCTTGGATCGTGCGACTTTGACCTGCAAATGGCTTGGTCCAGGCCTTTACAAATATTTATTGGTGTTAATAATTGTCTTCCACCTCTATCGTTATTTTTGTATTTTTATTTTTCAGGTGAATATTTGTGGCTAAAATTGGTCACAGTTTCGAATCCTCTTCCAAAGCTCTATACTCCTTTGCAACACAGCAGTCTGCAGTTCTTAAGTCAGGCCCCCGCTGTTCATAAAGGCTGAGCTTAGATTGTGTGTTTTCGATCTGCAGACGGCTTGGTCCATGCGATTTCGGTATTTTATAACTATTGTTATCCAGTTGGATCATTATCCTTATACCTCACTGGAGTTTCCCTTGGGTCTCACGGTTCAAGGGTTTGCCCCAACAACCTTCGGTAGTTGGAACCCGAAGCGGCAGTGGCTTCTTCATAGAGAGGCACTGCTTCACGGAAATGGGCAGGGAGGGGACGATTTCACAAAATTTTTTATTTATTTCTTTTCTGTCTCTCTATATATTTCATTCTCTTCCTTGTTCCTTTCCTAAATCTTTTTTCAAACATCTCTTCAACGTAACTTGCATTGCAGTTGCTCTCACATAAATTACACACAAATTATATCTTACGAAAAACAGTCTCGAAACTGTCAAGAAGTTATCAATGCTAGCACAGAACGGTGTGCAGCTAAACGTTAGTATGCTTAAAAATGAAACAAGCCATATTTTAAATTCATAAAATTACATTAATAAATTCAGCTGTCAAATTGTTACCAGAGGCCTCACTCTTTCTCAGATATAATTTGAAAGAAAAAAAATGTATAATGATTCTTGTATCAAGAATAACACGTAATTGCGTTCACGCTCTGTGAATATGTTTACCTTGAGAGATCACTGTACTCTGTACATAAAAAATAAACTCAACATCCATCACATTTATTCACGCTGATCATTCACTAGTCATCATCTCCGCAGTTACAAACCAAACAGCTCACTCCGAATAAGTTTCAGAGGTTAAAGCACTTTAAGTCAGCAAACGAAGACGCAGGCAACTCGTGAAAAATCATTGCTTTTCTATTCGGGCATTCCCTTTTATTATCATTGTCGGTTCCTCTTAAATCTAGATTAATGATAAGATGATGGGGCTCGTAGATGAACGAATTTGCACACGCTTAACGGCGAACGTTCTATCGGGTAGATGATGAAGTCGATGACCCTGAATTATTAATGTAAGATATACGTATATATACAGTTATTCAGCTCAAACTTACCAACTGAAGTTAGCCCGTACATTTGATTTCCATAGTGAAATCAACTTGACTTGGTCCTTATGAGCTGAGTTATTTTATATTATACCACGGTATGGTATATACTATACCATAAATTCCATGTAGCAAAATGTGACTAGCTCGAAAAAATATACTGTGAACCAATCATATTAATATATCATTTCAATTTCGGGCTCTACTTTGTATAATGAGACGACTTGGTTGGATGTCTCATTTTTATGCACGTCTCATTGTACATACCTGTAACAGCAAAGAAAATCTTTTAGACGTATAGCATTGAATTAATTTTTGTCTTGATTGTTCAAGGTGCTATCATCGAACGTATCTTGGTGCCGTAGTCCTTGACTTAAAGATGCCTAACCGTCAATACAAACAGAATGCATAGACGACGATTATTTAATTGTATTACGTATCTGTCGCAAGAGTCATCGATTTTTATTCCTTAGTATAGTTTCTGCTGACTTCTAAGAATCCAACGCAAAACGACTGATGGCTTATAAATTTTTATAACTTGCAATTTCTCGAATAAAAATACATTCGTTACATAGTTATTTTTTTTCGTAAGAATTTCTAGACACGTTTTATATTGACAGTCTCATAGTTATATTTAAATAAATAATGTTTTGATTCAATTTTCAAATCTATTTGTATTTATTACCTAGCATGCAAATCTGTATACAGGTAAGTCTCAGTATTGGCCAATCGGTAAGCGTCGATCCTGTAAGTTAAAACGATAAATATTTGAATTGGTTAAATAAATATAGTGTAACTGTAATTTCAGTTTAAAAAGTGTACCGTTGCTGAAACGTGGTTAAACATACTTTACTTGTCTTGCCATAGGTTTGAAAATATGCGAAATTTAAATGGAATATCTGACGTGAAGACATTTTGAAGTGTAGGCTACGTCATTACCATCAGGCGACTGATGCGAGCTTGAATAGGTCTGTGATCTTTTTTTTCTTTTTATGTCCACTGAAAATGAACACCTTGAAGGAGAAACAAGTTGGTATTGTAATACATTACGTATTTCCTTTTCATTGTATTCTGGCACAATGAGGCCTTCACATTTGAATTTCAGTTTAAATAATATATAGACATTTAATAAGGGCGTTTCAGGGTTTAGAGTTATGAATAAATAACTACAAGCAGGACTGTGCTTGTTACTAAAGTAGAAAATGATTTTAGTTGTAAGATACATGAGACTCTTGGAATCATTATTTAATTATAATTAGAATCAATTAGATAACCGTTAATAGGAGTGCATGGTAATTAAAATGTCTATCGATACAAATCACAATGGTGATTCTATTCTATGAAAATTGTTACACGACCATTAATTGCAACAGCATTGATATTATCTATTCATATTTTCTTATGCGTTTACAAGCTTGGGAATACCCGGTATATATATAATATGATTTGCAGTAAGGTTGAACTTTTCGTAAAAAATGTATAATGGCAATTTGGTAAATGTATAAATTCAAAAAGACAACGGTCGCCAATATTGACGTCAATGACGAGACCTCGTTGATTCGAAAGATTTATTAGAATGACTTTCTAGCTGTTTATATGTATACTGTATTAAAGGTAGTTTCTTGGAAAGTTGTCAAATCAAATTATCAGCCTTGCACATTGATTCTCGGTAAATAAAAATATATTTTGTATACACAACAGGCATTACCTTTCTTAGGACTCCCTCGTTGATTTCCAAAGAGATCAATAAACATCATGATGATTAATTGCTACACTTCCTCTTTTTTTATTCACTTCGTAGAAAATACCTAGGCTGCCAAATAGAAACTTGTGTACAAGAGAAGCCCTTGGGCCATGGGTATACTTGAACTTTCACGGAGTAACAACTCTTATGGATATTTAGGCACTGATCTTAAAGAGATAATGTAGGAATATTGTCTGATAACCTTCGTTAATTTGATACTAGTATGACAGGAATAAAGTTCTCGTTTAAAAAGCCCTGGGCTAAATAGATCGTACGATAATAACCTTATTGCCATAAACGTTGGTGTAACATCTAGAGCTAGCCTTTAACGCGCGAAATATTTGAAATTTGAATTCTCCTTCATTTCCTTAGACAATTAAATTCGATGGATTCTAATTTTCTTTTAATCTGATAATCTATGGTTTCACAATACTATCTTGATTAATAAGATAAAGATGTTTATAATGAAGTTTTTTCATGGTCTTCCTCGAAGACGTCCTCCGCGACTCTCGATCCCGTGTCCAGTACCTGTACGAGATCTGTTCTGCTAGAATACTGGATCCTTTCACTGGTGGGGAGTATTGGCGAAGATCGGTATATAAGCTACCAGTTAAGATCAGATTAGCACATAGAAGAATCACTGCCGCTTAACAGGAAGCGGCAAAGAGTTAAAGTTTGGTTATTTTTGATAAAAAAATTTTTGAAAAAAAAAATGAGGTATTTGAAGACTAGTATTTTATTGGTTCTGTTGGTGGCCACGGCATATGCTCGTCCAGGTAATTACTGTTGGAATTAGAGACTTTCAAACTTTCACATTGACAATTTCATTTATTTGCTGGAGATTCATTGATTCGGTCAAATGACCCATCCTGTCCCCAGTAAGTCATTGCGTGGCATTTAGTAACGGGCAATTGTTTGGTTTCCAGGAGGATATGGCGTCAAGGGGGGCTCCGGAAATGCTGCCAAAGCGTCCAGTAAGTATCTGTGGTATATAAAAGAAATTTATTTCTGTCGAATGTTCAATCGGATTGCACGATTCTGGGTGGTTGCGTTGTATGTTTGTTCGTGATATGGCGGTTATAACAAAGGCTTTTGTTCTTCCCATTTTGCAAACACTTCTCTACGCTTCTAATTTTACATCAAATAGCTTGCAAAGTATGCAGATTCTGTGAGTTCTTTTGATTTTACAAAACAAGTAATATTGTTTTTATTGTATCTTCTATGAGAAGTTTAATTTGGAAAGCTCGTGCCTTAAATGAAGAACAAGCTTAATTTTTTAATGTTTTATATTTTTTTTATAGGCAGCGCTTCAGCGAATGCTAAAGCAGAAGCTGGTGGAAGCGGAGCAAATGCAGGTGCAGGAGCAGAAGCAGGAGCAGCAGCATCTGCTCTAGGAGGTGCAGGAAGTAATAGCGGTGCTACTGCCAATGCCAATGCCAAAGCTGATGCTAATGCTGGTGCAGCTGGTGGAGCTGGAGGCCATGGAGATGCCGGAGGTCATGGAGGTCCTGGAATAGGTGGTCCTAGTGGAGTTGCCGCAGGAATTGCTAATTCAGGAGCTGAAGCAGGTGCAGGAGCTGAGGGAGGTGCTTCTGGATCTTCTGGACCTGGAGGAATTAATAATGCTGGTGGCGAACATGGTATTGGAGGACATGGATCGATTGGTGGAATTGGAGGAGGATCTCACGGTGGTTCCGGAGCAAATGCTGCAGGAATTGGTGGTGCAGGAGCTGGAGCCGGAAATGGCGCTGGAGCTCATGGGCCGGAAGGCGGAATTGGCGGAGGGCCTCATGGTAGTTTCGGTGGAATTGCTGGAGGATCTAGTACTGCAGGAGCAGGGGCAGAAAGTGGTGCTGGGGCTCATGGGCTGGAAGGCGGAATTGGCGGAAGACCTCAAGATGGTTTTGGTGGAAATGTTGGAGGATCTAGTAATGCAGGAGCAGGCGCAGGCGCGGGTGCAGGCGCGGACACAGGAAGTGGAACTGGAGGTCATGGATCTAGCGGCGGAATTGGTGGAGGACAACATGGTGGTGCCGGTGGTTTGTCCGAAGGATTCGGTCATACCGGAGCAGGTAAAGGAAACAATGCCGGTGCTGGCGGATTCGGTGGATCTTCTGGAATTGGTGGAGCTCACGGACAAGGTGGAATTGGCGGAGGTCACGGACAAGGTGGAATTGGTGGAGGTCACGGACAAGGTGGAATCGCTGGTGGTCACGGACATGGTGGAATTGGTGGAGGTCACGGACAAGGTGGAATCGCTGGTGGTCACGGACATGGTGGAATTGGTGGAGGTCACGGACAAGGTGGAATCGCTGGTGGTCACGGACATGGTGGAATTGGTGGAGGTCACGGACAAGGTGGAATCGCTGGAGGTCACGGACAAGGTGGAATTGGTGGAGGTCACGGACAAGGTGGAATCGCTGGTGGTCACGGACATGGTGGAATTGGTGGAGGTCACGGACAAGGTGGAATCGCTGGTGGCCACGGACATGGTGGAATTGGTGGAGGTCACGGACAAGGTGGAATCGCTGGTGGTCACGGACAAGGTGGAATTGGTGGAGGTCACGGACAAGGTGGAATTGGTGGAGGATTTGAAAACTCTGGCGTAGGAGGCATTTCTGGAGGTGGCGCCCATGGCGGTGCTGGAGGATTTGGAAATGCTGGTGTGGGAAGTAGCAGCGGTGCTAATGCTGAAGGAGGAGCCGGTGGCAATGCTGATGTACTATTTGGTGGCTCTGTCCCAGGAGCAATCGCAACTGACAGTCTTCATAGCGCCGGAAATGGGGGTCACGGTGGTGTAAAGGGAGGTAGCCATGGAGCAGGAATTATACCTGGTGGAAGCAATGTTGGACACTCTGGAGCAGGTGGTCTTTCCGGCTCAGAAGCATCCAGCGGCTCTCAATCGTCTAGTGGATCCAATGCTGGTGGTAGCGGTTCTCAGTCAGGTTCATCAAGCTCCAGCCTTGCCAGTGGATCTGGATCCGGAAGTAACTCCCAATCCCAATCTGGATCGTTCAGCGGAAGCTTCGGAGGTAACAATCCCTTTGGCTTTGATACTAACGGCTTCCATGCTTTTGACAAGGGTGAATTTGGCAAAGGATTTCTTGCTGGATTGGGCAACAGCTTTACCAATTGGCTAGGTAATCAATTTGGAGACTTTGGTCTAGGTGCTGGAAGCGGTTCCAACAGCTATAGCAACGCCTCCAGCGGAAGTTCTGGCTTGGGAGGAGCTGGAACCAAGAGTGCAAGTAATTCTTGGTCCTCCGGTGGTGGCACCGGTTCCTCATCATTTTCAAGTTCAAGTAGTAAGTCACAAGTCATTCCTCTCTATTCTTATTCATAATAAATTTGATACTAAATTATCATAACGAAATATTACCTCACTTTTGTTAATAGGCTGGTCCGGAGCAGGCCCCTTTGGTGTAAAAGCTCACTGAACAAAAAGCTCAAAACGCTTCCTACATAATTAACAACAAAAAATTCATCATCCTACGAATCTACAATCCAAACAAGAATACAAGATACACAATATTCTGAGCTTAGACAAGATCATAAAAATATAACTTTATACAATAAGTATCCCTAAATTATTATACTTAAGTGTTCAAGAGTTTAATTAAAAAATTCTCTTGTCAAATTTAGCATATTATTGTAATATTTTATTCAAGTATTGTGATAAATAAAAATTATATAAAACTTGTATAACGAGCATTTTTACACTTACAAAATTCTTTTAAACTCACAGGCATTTCAGACTTTTCAACCATTCTTTTCTACTTTCTAAATTTCCATTCTATCTTTATTGTTCCAAACCAAATCATCCTCAAACATTGCAGTAGTCACAGAAGCATTCTTAGAATCAATTAAGTCATTAATCCCATGTAATATAGCAACGTATGAAAATACATTCTGGAACTTAAAAGGCATATATTCAATTAGTCATTGATAATTATTTATCCAAGGATAAACATATGATGCAGGAAAATCATATTCCCAATAGCCTAAGGCTGAATGAAAATCGAAAAATTATTATTACTCTAAGCTAATATAAAGGTATTAATATCACAGACACTTGTACTTTCATTCAAAGCTGTGTATGATAAACAGTTACTACAATTTCAAGATGCATTATGCATTCCATAATTAACATAGTCAATATTTCTGCTTACATATAATCATTTCCACCATTATTTACCTCTCATGCATATTACCAGTACAAGCAATTTAATTCTATAAGTAAACTCGAATAATTTTTATATGAAACCAGATAATGATACATCCAATACGTCAGCATGAGTAATGCTACACAATGGACTGAATGTTGTTATAAAAATATTAAAAATACATTTAGGCTTTTCCATTATCAGTCACATAACAGTTATACTTATTAGAGTAAACTCCATACACTGTGTAAACCTATAATATCATCCAGTCAATAGTGAAGTAATTTTTACCTAGGAAATACCAGAGTTGGCGTAACTCTAGAATCATATTGTAATGAATATAGTATATTAGCAAGTATACCATACTAAGCTGTGACAAGATACTTAAGTATCTAGTTTTTTTCTTTGTGACTGGGGAATTTTGTAACTTAAGATATACCCGTTTTCATGGAATATTCATATTGGGAAGAGACAAATATTTTCAAGACTTTCACCAGTTTATGCAAAGATCAACGTACCTACTTCCCGTGACCTTACCATGTCCATTCTACTCGTATGTCCCTGATGGTAAATCCCACGTGTATGATCAGCCCAAAATGGCCATTACTGTCACACCAATACTCTTTAAATTGTCCATCTATGTCGATGAAATGACACGCACTAAACTGTGTAAGCATTTCCCTCCAGCGTGTATGGATACATGTATAAAACTGGAGGACGTTCTCGATGAGACTTCAGTCATATGTCAAGAGTGTCACCAGACAGGAAAAGAAACGTGGAGTAGCTGACTGAAAAGAAGAAAAAATTGGACTAATACGTGAAATTGGAATTTTTTAAAAAATGAAGAGATTTCTGTCCTGTATTTTTTTTGTAGTTTGTGGTGAGTGTATACAGATAGTGTTTTTTTTTTCTCTATGAAGGCATAATTTTTTGTGATAAGTATTTTTTTTTCTTACTTGATGGATATGGGACTATGTCTTTTTTTTTGTTATTATGAGACGCATATTGTTAGGCATACGAGGAAATCCACTCGTGCTCAGAGCTGAACGCCATTCGTGGTACGACTATATATTAAATTACGTAATACAGATAGCTGAGAAACAAATAGAATATATTTTGCCCGGTCAAGGATGTTGTTAGCCTGCAGCTTCTTAAGTAGTTATATCTTTGTACTGTACGTGTGAAATCTGTAAGCACGTTAGTGCGTTCATTAGGGTGCTGTTGGTGAGAATTATGTGTGTATGTACCCTGTGCTCTTAATGATATTTTTGTAGTGTTCAATGATTTCCTGATTATTATTTATGTTTCCTTTCAGTACGATCTGAGTCGGGATTTTTTTTCCCTGATCAGATATCAGCACATGCTAATAGCAACAGTCAAGCATGGTCTGACGGTAATGGCAACGCCAATGCAGCCAGTGAGAGTCAGGCGTCGGTCAACAGTGGAAATCCTTTGCAGTCTGGTCAATTTCTTCAAAATTATCCAATACAAGGTTATGATCCTCAGCAGGGTCTACAAAATCCCGGTTATGGTGTTGGATCTGGTGGTTCCTTGGCTCAGAGTCAAGGACAGGCACATGTACTGGGTGGACATGGTACAGCAAGCGCTAATAGTCAGAGTGCAGCTCAAGGTTTTGGTAACAATTATCAGCAGACTGGTCTTGGGTACGTTGACGATTGCTGAAAAGATTATGATTATTTTTTATCAAACTGAAAATATTTTTTTTACAGCTATGCACCTGAGCAAGGATACAATCCTATTCAATTAGGCGGCGCATCCAATGCTCAGAGTCAGGCTAATGCACAAGCAACCGGAAATGGCGCTTTGGCTAATTCTCAATCTACCTCACAATCTCAAAATGGATTATCTCAGAGTCAGAGTATCTCACAGGCTCAGTCTCAAGGATTCTACAATGGTTACCCATATAATTCATTGACTGGTGCAACTTCTGGTAGCCAGTCGAATGGTCTTGGAGGATCAAGTGCAGCAAGTGCAGCAAGCGCCGCAACCACCAGCTTCGTTGGTGGTGTACCCGTAGCTAGTGCCAGTGCAGCAGCAGCAGCAGCTGCCGCTGGAAATGGAGGATACTCAAACAGCAATGCTAACAGTGTCGCAACAGCCACTGGAGGCCATTCTGGATTTCAAGGACATCCTGGTTGGTTCCTAAACGGCAGAAATTCGGAGAATGATTCTGAGAGCATTTCTGATGACTCTGAAAGTTTGAGTAGCGAGAGCCAATCGTCTGACGAGCCTCAATTTTATGAGAGATAGACTGATTACTTTTTTAAAATAAATAAGAAACAAATAACAAAGTCGAAATTTAATTTGACTCTGCAATTATCTAATTTATGATACTCTCGGAACTGTGATTATTATATAATAAAAAAGTACTCACACCGCCTATTGCCAATGATCGTCATTAATGTACTTTGTCATCGTAAAACACTGCGCTAATAAAAAATAATCAAGTCATCATCTTTAATCGGAAACATCATGTGCATCGTACTGTAAACTCTTACTCTACGTATATAATGACTCATCTCTATTTCCTTTGTACGAATGCATAAATGTGTCCACTTACTAATATGTATAAGTATATACTTGCTGGGTATTGCCACTCTGACATTAGCGGTACTAGCCGAAAGAAAACAAGCTTTGGTAAATACAGGTTATGTAAGATACCGCATGAATCAAGAATCTATATTCGCAACTACAAACCGTAAGACAAATGTAAAAAGTACGAATGCTTTATTCATCTATGGCAAGAAGCGTGTTAAATAAAACTGTTATTTATAGTCAAAGAGTGTATTCTCTATTTCGTCTACAAACCTGCACTAAGAGATAAATCCTGTCCATTTTATAAATCCTTGAAATTCCGTAAAAACACTCGCCTAAAATTTAAATAAAGATAAACGTATTCATGCATTCAATATTTTACGTGCAAGCCATGATAGCGACACTGCAAGCTATTTCGTGGTTGATACGTATGTTACGTCAGAAACGATTGACGATAAGTACGTACAAAAATTCATAATCGACATTGATTTTTTCACATTAAGCAAAATGATTTTAATTTTCAATCTTTACGTGATTAACTTTAATTAAAAGGTAGGGTTTCTCAATGTCGTTACATAATTGATATTGCTATGAATTTCTTAAAGCGTCCACGAACCTCAGTCATTCTTCATGGTGACTGAGCAGACTGTGAAGTCCTGTATACTATATAAATGTATCATAAAGAGTAAAAAATGGGACATTAATGAGGTCAATAGAATATTATTCGATTGATAGATAATTATTTGACTGTTGGTAACACGCGAGTAACTTTCGCCCTGCCATCTAGCACGTTTATTCAAACTGACATCGAACCTAATGGCTGAAGGTTCCTTGGTAAATGAGAATCCGCTTTCCGCACGAATAACAATTTATTTCCTACGCTGGAATGGAGACGTCAAGGTTTTGGGAAATGTATATTTTTTGTGTATGGTTACCGAGCTGGAAAGACTGTCCACTTTTGTTGTCTCAATTAATGGACGCCTTGTGTACGTATCGTAAATGATAGAGAGTTTATGCGAATTTCTATTGCTAGCTTTTTGTTATGCTTGTTTTACTAGAGGAACCTTTTGTTTGTAGTACCTAGAGCAAGACGACATTATTATTCTAAAGTTGTATACTTTGGTAAGTAAATTATTCATGGCACGAGTAAGGACGTTTATGAGCATAACCTATGATACTAAATGTATACGATGACCGAATGTCATTTATTTACATGGACCATCATTCTCACGGAAAGGAGAAAAAGGCGTTCGGTTATGCTAATGCAATATTTTAGCATGTAATACTATAGGATAGGAAGTTAATGGCAGTGCGTCCTGTTCTGAATAAAAGGTTCGGGATTTTTTGTTTTAATTGAATTATGATTTTATTGAATTATACATTTTAATTCGATCTTGACGATATATTAAGGTTGTGAGAACTGGTAGTATTGCTTGTATCAGTAGCATTTGGAAATAGCAGTAAAGAACTTAATATGGAAATTCGATATTTCAATGGTCGGTGGTATTTCTGTTTTTTAGGATCCGTTTCGAGATATCGTCATCGCGAATAAATTATCCATGTATAGAATGCAGGTGGATATCTTGCATTTTTTTTAATACTGGTTAACACTCTTCCAGTCTTAACAGATATACAAGCAAACTAGTATTTCAGCTAATGGCAGTTCTGAGTATTACGACGTTCATGCTTAATGATTTATGAACTGATATTATTAGATAGTTGAGATGATATATCTTGGTAAATAAACTATTAGGAGTTTACAATTTACTTCTGAATTTCATTACTTAAAGCATGGTTTGTGGACGTATTCGGTATAGATATAAGAGTATGTTTAAAATACATAATTCATATGTACGCCTCAGCTTTGAGAGATGCACTGTATTATTTATTCATGAGACATATATGTATGTAGATACATTTATGTAATACACCTGTACTATTGTATATCATATACGGGAGAAATCTGGAATTATTATCTATATATAATACACAAAAAACAATTTTTACAGAGGCACTGTAATATTAATCAACGATATTTTTAACGAATTTTTCCAGCAGAAACCTTGTAGACGCCCTTTCCTGAAGAGTCAATATCTAGCGAAGTACTACTGTAGACGCCCTTGACACCATTTCCGGGATTGTTTTGATCACTTCCGCCTAATCGTGAGGTTATTCTGTTGAATAAATATTTAAATAATTTAAAAAAATTTAAGCATAAAACTAATATTTGATTTTTGTAAAATTTACCCAAAGGAACTGGTATGACTGGAACCTCCGCCATCTGAATTGGAACTACTTTGAGAACTGGAGCCAGACCAAAAACCTGTATTTGATGGCGCAACTTCAGGACCTGTTCCTGGGAATGCCATGTGTATTCTTGGGAATTGTGAGGCAGCTCCTATCAGGAGAGCATCCTGATTAGGAACACCGTAAAATAGACTATCACTGTTAATAAATATATCATCAGGACTGCCGTTACCGTAATTATGAAATTGGAAATCAGGAAAGAAGCCATTTCCGTATATAGGTCCTCCGAATCCAGTTGCACCTGCAGAATCAGGTTGAGGACCGGAATTTTCAAAGATACTACCACCTCCGTCAAAGAGATCAAAAGGGTCAAGGTTCATACCATCCTGTTCCAAAGAAGTGGTAGAACTTCCGGAAGTGGTAGGACTTGAAGTAGAAGAAGATTCTTCAGCTGCAGCTGCGTCAGGTTTTAGTTCTTTTATCAAATCCTTATTTACTGATGAACTTGACGTTTCCGTACTCAAACTTTCTGTAACTGGATCGGATTCCGTCGCAGCTGCGTTATCTCTAGGATCTGCATAAGGTTTTGAAGCTTCAGCTGATTCTATGACATCTCTAAGATTTTCACTATTTCTTTGCGTATCATCCTTTTCAATAACAGGCGTCACAGGGTTATCACTTTCGTCGTTGTTGATAGCGTCATTTGCAGTAGCATCTGCACTTGAATTAGCCTGAGTATTTGTTTGGACCTCAGACGTGTTTGCCGTTGCTGCAAACAAAAAAAGGGGTTATCGATAATATTCAGTTCTGATAATTGCTAATAATCTATAAATATTATATATCTCCTGTGAAGGTTCAAGTTCGTGGCAATTCTAAAATGATCATTGATCAATCTCATAGATCAAAGGTCACCATAAATATCAAGGTTCGACTCGAGATTAAATCTAAATTATTTTTAATACTTTGCAGTGAGTGCAAAGGTGCTGAGGAGTTTTAATAGACTTTACCCTGTACTCGTGTCACAATAATTACTATCAGGGCTGACAGCCTGATTATCGTACCATGCAGCCACATGATGGACTGATCTCATCAACGGTTGCACCTGTTCCATTTATACATGAGCATTCGTGCCGATCTCTATGAAAAAACACCGAATCGCACTATTGTTTATTGATAGCTGGAAATCAGTGTGACGTGACAATACGGGGACAAGGTTGATTGCATCTCATTCGGCTGCATATTTCCTGTCCATTTTTTAATTCATTTAAGAGACATCGATTCGCACCTGGGCGTAACATCAATTTCTGCATTGAATTTGCTATTCGTAACGTTTACTATTTTCTAAAAAGGAATTACTCATTTTCTTTGTATAATTAACTTTATACTATTGACCGTGGAGAGGTATCAATTTAATATTAATAATTATCGTTATAGCGTTGATCGTTATGAAAGAGGATTCATGGAACGGGGAATAGTTGTAAAGAATTTTATTTTAAGTATTAACATATATGTATATCACAATGCAACGTTTAAGTATATACAGCATAAGAGAATCGGCCAAATTCAACGAAATGGCCTTGACCATCGAGGAGTTTCAAGCTGCGTTCGCAAACGGATCGTAGAAGGCAGTTGGAAAACCCGTCTTACTACATGTATCACATTCGTCATAATGCATATTTAATACTACCACGCGAAGCTGTTTACAAAAAGTCACTAATGGCGTTCTAGGCAAGAGATGGTGAATGAGAAATGATTGGCATTGTGTTCTCACTATTAGCCCTTGTTCTCGTTGGGTGGCACATAATGTCGTCGTATTTTTATTACTTTTTTTTTCGTCGATTTTATCTTCTCGTTTCTTGTTTCTTTGTTAGTCTTTTACAGAGCATAATCTTTTTTGAGGAGTTTAAGGGATTTTGCCGGCAGATACTTTGTAGGATCCTTTGCCAGTTGAGTCGATGTTCACGGCGCTACTGCTGTAGACACCCTTGGCGCCATTGACGGAACCACTTTCGTTAGCACCCTCGTCGGCGTCACCGATACGAGAGAAGATGCTGGAAAAGATAATTAGTTATTTATTTAACTTGGTCAGATTATGGAATTGTTTGATAGAGGATTGGTATCATTTTTATAGTTAGCTGAGTGAAGAAATTTTCAACTTACTCGAATCCTCCGTTTCCGCCATGACCTCCATAGCCACCAGCTCCAGCACCGGCATTGGCATTGGCGCTGGCACTGCTCTGGGCATTGGATCCTCCAAAACCACCGGCTCCTCCAAAACCTGGACCACCTCCATGACCAAATCCACCAGATCCTCCATGTCCTCCGCCAAGGCCACCGCCTCCGAATCCTCCGGAGCCTCCAAAGCCTCCTGCTCCACTTCCGGCGGAAGCACCAGCGTTCGAATTAGCTCCAGCACCTCCAGCACCTCCAAAGCCTCCGGGACCACCTCCAAATCCACCTTGGTGGCCAAATCCACCGGAACCTCCGTGCCCACCGCCAAATCCACCGGAACCAGCACCTGCATTAGCATTGGAACCGCCAAATCCTCCTGCACCTCCGTGACCACCTCCAAGTCCACCTCCGAAACCAGTTCCTCCTTGGCTACCGCCAAATCCACCGGAACCAGCACCTGCATTAGCATTGGAACCGCCAAATCCTCCTGCACCTCCGTGACCACCTCCAAGTCCACCTCCATGACCACCTCCAAGTCCAGCTCCGTGACCACCTCCAAGTCCACCTCCGAAACCAGTTCCTCCTTGGCTACCGCCAAATCCACCGGAACCAGCACCTGCATTAGCATTGGAACCGCCAAATCCTCCTGCACCTCCGTGACCACCACCAAGTCCACCTCCAAGTCCACCTCCGAAACCAGTTCCTCCTTGGCTACCGCCAAATCCACCGGAACCAGCACCTGCATTAGCATTGGAACCGCCAAATCCTCCTGCACCTCCGTGACCACCACCAAGTCCACCTCCAAGTCCACCTCCGAAACCAGTTCCTCCTTGGCTACCGCCAAATCCACCGGAACCAGCACCTGCATTAGCATTGGAACCGCCAAATCCTCCTGCACCTCCGTGACCACCACCAAGTCCACCTCCAAGTCCACCTCCGAAACCAGTTCCTCCTTGGCTACCGCCAAATCCACCGGAACCAGCACCTGCATTAGCATTGGAACCGCCAAATCCTCCTGCACCTCCGTGACCACCACCAAGTCCACCTCCAAGTCCACCTCCGAAACCAGTTCCTCCTTGGCTACCGCCAAATCCACCGGAACCAGCACCTGCATTAGCATTGGAACCGCCAAATCCTCCTGCGCCTCCGTGACCACCTCCAAGTCCACCTCCGTGACCACCTCCAAGTCCACCTCCGAAACCAGATCCTCCTTGGTTACCGCCGAATCCACCGGCACCTCCGTGGCCTAGACCGGCATTAAGTCCACCACCGGAACCACCGAAACCTGAAACATTAACGAACTCCAATGTCATTAAAAATATTTTGCAATCTATCGTGTCACAAGATTCTCATGTCAGACAACGCAGTTAACATGCATTATTTTTATTTACCCACACTTAATACCTTTAAGTATTAAGTATATAACATAAATGAAAGATGTCAGATGATGTCAGAAGATTATCAGCCCATACTTGTTTTAATGTTACATAATTTGATGTGAGCAAATAGGCTTTAGTCTAGCAGAATAATGAGTTGTTAATCACATATCATGATGCATCTTGTGAACAGTTATGCATCGCATTAAGTCTACACACCTCCGGCACCAGCGTTAGCATTAGATCCGGCACTGGCAGCTCCCTTAGCACCACCGGATCCAAACCCGCTATTGCCGCCTCCAAATCCACCATTTCCGCCACCGAAACCGCCTCCAATATTATCGTAGCCTGAGGAACCTCCATATCCTCCTGATCCACCTACACCGCCGCCATATCCTCCAGCTCCTGCTTGGTTACCTCCAAACCCTCCAGCTCCCGAGTGCCCACCTCCGAAACCTCCAAGACCGCTTCCATATCTTCCAGAACCACCAGTACCTAGTCCGCCACCTCCATATCCTCCGGAACCACCGAACCCACCTCCTAATTGATCATCAAAAACAAATCCACCACTTCCAGCATTAGCGCTCGAAGTGGCCGATGATTTTGCACCAGCTCCGGCGCCTGCTGATGCCTGGGAATTCGACGACGAGAAACTGTTTCCGCCTCCAAATGCATTTGCGTTTGCTGAGCTACTTGCGCTGCTGAATGCACCTGAACCCCCTCCACCGCCACCACGTTTTGCACGGGCCACAACTCCGACATAAGGTACTCGATCATCGTACACGTAGTACGTTTCTGAAAAAAATATATTTCATTTATGTTTTTTGAAAAAAAGCAACTTTTTTCTCAGAATATATAAAAATCAAGAAAAATGTTCAGTCTAAATGAGCTGTATTTGATTTTCTTAATGTTAAATACTAATTATTTAATTCACGTTTTTACATTATACTGCATCTTCTACCTCCAAAGAGGTAAGAGAATTCGAAAGTCGTTTTACCTTGTGCGTGGGCGCTGAGCGCCAACAATGCCAAAAGGCCGGTGATTGCTTGATGACGACGCATGTCTGACTGTGCCCATCATTGGATCATCCGATGACTTTATAGCATGACTCCCTCCAGTCGAGTTGCGCTCTGACGTTTTGCCGTTTCTGACTGAAGACCTACACAAACGTGCTTTCCGATGCGCGGCCAAGGCTGTGGGACAACGATTCATTTCCTAGCCATTTTTGCCATTGGTCGAAGCCATTGTTTTTGGTAATTGCAAGTTCAAAGAATCATCGACTATCGACTTTTATTTTTATTCATTTTTACTTTCAGACTCAGGGCCGCAACGAGATTGTGTAGGCTTGTGGCAATGTTCGCAATGTACATATCAGTATTGAAGCACTACGTGTAGATTGATCAATTCGAGGAATTATTATATTCTTATATACATATGTATATACAGATCATATCAACCTGATTTTCAAAATGATCAACATGATTTCCTCCGAAGGATCCTGTTGAGAACTAGCGCTCACGGCTGACTACTTATTTTTACGAATATACATAAACGCGTGATATATGCATGACCGTTACTTGCTGACTTTGTAATTTGCCAATGGGATTCTTCGGTTTTTCTTTTTCATCTTTCGTATCTTCATCAACAAACGAATCACGATGAAAACCATTCCTGTCTAATGGTACTTTGACAACCGCTTACGACGGCGTACTGGAAAATACGTGATTTCGAGGTTAGTCACACGTCAGACGGGGCGTAATAATTGAAAACAAATTAGGGGTATTATGAAACTGGGAAATTTTGAAAAGATTTTCCAGAGTTCGTTTCCTCAATTTTCCATGGATGAGACGATGAACAGAAATGCGTTCATTTTTATTATGCCCTGCAGTATTAAATGAGGCAATCGAAAATGCTGCAACAGGATAAACGAAGCCAACTGTAAGTAGTGCTGATTATTGAAAGAGGCCTTAGTAAAAATTAAGTTGTTGAGTTGACGATTCAAATAAACGTTAAGAAAAATATTTTTTTTATTATTTGTTATTTTCGACGTTTAACTGAATTTTTCCACATTTTTGACTTGGGCCACTTTTATACTTACTAGCAGGTTAAGAGTTCCACATACAAACAACCTTGCCGGGATGAATCGTTGTAAGTCGTATGGATTGCATTGAGAGAATGTTCTTTTCTTCTTTTCTTTTTATCTCATTTCTTTTATTCACTCAATAGGCAGACGATAAACACAGACTACAAGGAAGCCTTGCGTCCGCACAACAGAGATAATTATGACGAAGAGCTTATTAAGATGCTTTTATAAAATTAACTCTAAATCGGTATCCACATCTTGTTTATGTATTACAAGGCCCATTAGAAATTCATAGAGTTACCTAGCGTTTTACAGTTTTCTGTCGACGCTATTTTCCTTCGTGTTTCTTATGTACGATCACATTCGCCGATATCACAGAAACGATCTTCATTCAACCCGCAGTGTATGGATGTACAAGATTACAGGTTTAAATTTATTGGGAACCCCCCAATGTGTTGATTAGGATGCATCTGACTTTTTAGTTCTTTCATTAGAATTATTGATATCGATCGCTCTTTCCATTGTCATAACTGCATTCAATTAACGTGGGAGGTGACGCAAAGACAATTAAATATACCGCCGCAGGTGAAAATCCAGGAATCAGCCGCGTTCATGAGTGACGTATTTACCTAGCGTACGGATCGAGGCAACGTCTTGACTAGTTCCCTTTAAAGTAATTATTTGATAACACTTTATTGTTAAAAAATATAAAAAGTTCATTAGCGGTCATTAACATGTTTCCAAATCATTCGAGCGATCGTTGAAGGTCTAGGCCTTAGATTTTTTAAATTTCCTATACCTCCTGTGAGTGCGAGAGAGACACGCTCATGCGCATTTACGTGCGTGAGACAGAGACAGATATACGGATTGCCAAAATATCGCGGCTGGCCGATTAAGCTTTACCAAATTATTTATCTTTGAACTACAACTATCGAATGACTCGAAATATCAAAATTACCCACTGCTAGGTGTGATAATGATACTTTGATATGTTTACCCTGGCAGAGAAACAGTACGTAAAGACGGATGATTAGCACAGCTTGAACTCGTTAAACAAAGTGGGGAAACCCTGGTAATTCCCCTACACGGAAACTGGTTCCTTGGTGTCCATAACATTAGAACTTTCGACTCTTGACTTTAGTTTCTTGTGTACTACAAGAAGATCTTGTGTCGAAGATATTGATGATCTCAATGAGTTCCGTCTCAATGGTAGCTTCTCAGTAAGATCCTGTCAGAACAATGCTCGTTAACGTCTACAGTTCATCAGAACCATTAGATTTCATAGATAAGTAACAAAGAGGCAAGTCTCGAACGGTCTCCTTGGAAACGTTGTTTACCCATCATTCTCACCTTATGATATTTTTCAATGACTATCCTTCATATCGTGCATATACCGTACGTACGCTTACTGCATACCCCATCCTTTGACTAGATTGACGTTTTTTATAAGGTGCAATTAAATAGCCTCTATCAGAACCAGGACATAACATTCGTAATGTTTATAGCCGCCATTTATGAGAGATCACGAAGAACGATTATATCTTTAAAGACGTTCCTATTGTAAGCGATACTCGAAATTTCCATTCTGCCATTACTCGATCTTCTCACGACTGCCAGCTGCTTCTTGAATTTATTGCAGCTACAGTGCATTTAAATACGTAGGTCGTCCTTGCGCTTTATCTGCTGTGAATCAAGTACGTTAATTATTTGAGAAAACTTTGGCTGGCCGTACTTACTATTTGTAAGGGTAAAACCTCGTGACATGGGTGCGACGTTCTTGACAAATCTTAAGCACTTTCATAAAGAATTCTTTTAAATGCTCCCAGAGGGCACTGTGTGATATATTCTTATTGCCAATCAACTTATGCTAATACCTACTGGATTATTTATTTTAGAAACGAGAGGAACGGCGGAGGACCAATGTAATTCCCAGAAGTTTTGGCGCTCCTTGTTTACCGAACTCTCTTGTCGGGTATAATAAGCTTCGATCATTATACAATCTGCCACGTGTAACTGTACATAAAAACTTCATCGTGGCACAGCATACATAGATACATTACGTATGATAATTTCTTGAGATTTTAATGCATGCGTATTGCTTCCTTCTATGTTTTCATAGAGAATCTCATATCGGAGGTTAAGTTTTATTATGGTTCTTCGAGTTGTCCGTTTGCAAGGATAGGAAGAAATTTTCTTCCATAACCTAACCTAGAATTTGGATCACAAACGGATTCGTCAACCTTGTGTCATTTTGCTACATGATATTTATTGCATATTTTCGTGATATTTTACATAATTCCCGTAAACGCGATTAACACGTTCACAAGTCTCACATACAATAAGTAATGGTGAACAAATTTAAAACGAACTTAACGTTAGCGGTGCTATAAAGGAAATACAAGTCAGAGCTTAACCAATGAGAAATTTACATTTTAAATAAAAAATAAACTTTTTGTAGAAATTTCATAGTTACCGCAGTTTTCTTATGTTTTTCTTAATTTCATTTTCATTTTTCTTTTTCTATAAATATTCTAACGATTAAAATTACTGCAAAGCTGCCGAACAGTATCATTATCTCCACAAACACGCGACATTTCTGTACTCGGCTGTGTTACACTAATAATGATAATCGTAATAATAACAATAATAACATTGTCAACGGTATTGTGTATCGATGGGTATTTCACGTACGAAAAATAATATTCACCCTTCTTCTCATTGTTATATATTAATTAAAATTAGGCATTCATAGCGATAAAATTAATATCAATTATAAAAAATAATTGGACGTACACAAACTAGTCGTCAATTGGTTCCTGCTTAATTGAGCTACTTTTATTATGATGCGCGATGATAATGTATAGGCGATTAAATGTGAATTCGATTTTTTGCAGCCTTCTCTAATGAAATGTCGATTTGCGCTATAATATCCGATTCACGATTCACTGCCATTTCCAGACTTAATTGTTAATTCATACATTGGTATTTCATTACGGATTTCGAAATACGTCTTTAGGCGGAGGACGATTATAAAAATTGTAAAATTCCTAACGCTAATGTTGGCTGTAAAAATCATCTCGTGTAAACGACGAGTCCTTGTTTAATAATGAGACAATTTTAATCACTCTAGGCCTGATAACAGTTATTGTTAACAAAATTATTGTCTTTTTAGAGACACAACTTATTCGATACATTCCATTATTGAATTGGTCCAATATTATATTTTGTTAATATCTACTTTTAACTTGTGTCAGTACTACCGTTAACGTGGTTCAAGTCTATATACAATTCCTGATTGTTCATCTCGTCATGTTAATTGTATTGTTATGTATTGTAGATTGGAATCTATTTTTTATCAAACAATTTTTTTGTATCTTTATTAAGAAATACCACTTTGAAATTACCGAGATTCGTAGTGCAGGCGAATTTGACCTTGCAAATAAATAGCTATGCTAATACAATTGTATTAAAAAAAAGAAGATGAAAATGTAAAGACGGATAAACCGTATAAAATTTTAAAATTGCGTGTTAAGCCAAAAAACTATTTCACGCGTTATATTGTCACGTGTTCATTGTTTCTGCTCATTATAACAAGATTTGAACATTTTTATTAGAAAGTTCCACTTACATAATAAAATTCGAGTTCAACTCGTGAATAAGGCCGCAAATTTGATTTTTGAAATGCCAATGTCTTACTCATGTTCCAAAAATAATTGCATCGTGTACCTCGATCCTTGTAGCACCACACCAAAAAAAGTCCACTCCTCGTGTTTCTTTGACGATGTTATCGAATCTCATGAATTCAAAGTAAACATATTTGTCAAAAATGTCAAAAGACATTAGAGATTTTTTTTTCAATAATCTTCCTTTCTACTGAAGTTCACTTGTATGTGGCTCTGCTGAGTGGCGCTTCTTGTAACTTCTATCCATCTGTAATAAAAAAATTGACACAATCGTTTAGCATTCTATACAAACCAATAAAAGTAAAATATAAAAAAAAAAAGATGAATTACCAACCTTCCAAAAGTATAATCACTTTCAGCCCTGAAGAAATATACGTGATTCTTGAATTGTAATTTGAAGACAAAATCTTTATTAATGCCATCTTGTTCGGACGGTGTGGAAACAGCATATCCCAGTAACGGCAGACTAGCCAATGGGAAGGCATCCTGATGCGACTTGTAGAAGAAGAGACAGAAGTTGGTAAAAACGACCCAAAGTTTTTGCCAGCCATTACTGTTTTTGAACTTCCTCAAGAGAAATCCACTGAGCTGATTCTGAAACAGAGAGTGCCATGGCATTACATGTTCAAGATAAATATCCATATACAACAGATGAAGTATCACATACCTGAAATGCTCGTAACTGATCGCTGTAGCTAATGCTAGTATTTCGATGCCAACAAACATGAACAGTTGTGTTGCTGCGCTGTGAAGCCTTTGCACCACCACAACTGGATCGGTCCACCTCCATTCCAATTCCTTCAGCCACTTCATCAGCCGAGCCCAGAACTAGGAGTAAATAAATTACAAGAATAGATGGAAAACTTCAGAATATAGAATTCTTTCAGAAGAAATTAAAAACTCACTGCACGTCTTTAAATTTAAGTACGGTATCTTTCCATCAACTGTATCTGCTTGGAATATAGCCATATTCAAATCTTCGAGCCACCTTTCTTTTTCTTCTTCACTGCTAGCAGCTACTGTCAAAGACCTAATAATACATGATTGTTAGAAGTGGACTTTATATATTCTGTTTAGGTATAGGTGACGGTTCTGCGTGATAGTGACGCGTTATTAATTCGCGTTAATTCGTTTGTTTATATTAATGCTATTTGGGCTTGGTTTACAAATCAAACTAATAGGATTAGCCCGAGTTATATTGTCCGATTTCAAAACTTAAACTGAACCAAAGTTGGTGTTCCTACCGGCGACAAAACTTGCCGCAACAGGTTAAATATCCTCAATTGACCTCTTAATAACAAAATTTTTTATGTCCTCGTGTCTCATTCAGTCTCATTATTTCTAATAGGCGTCTATCAGCTATATGCAGTACGTTGAACTCCATTGCATATGGACCCGAGGATCCCTCTTGAAATTGTACATTAATCAACGTGGGAAAAAGGGCAAAAATATTTCATATTATTTTTGCAAGGAAAATAAAATTTATATATAAATTTAGCTCAACTTACTGATTGCCATGACCAAGGATTACAAATGCAAAATCTGTTCCAGTTTTATTGTCACCATCTTGAATAATCATCCCCTTAAGAGGAAGCTGTCCATGTACGCGGAAGCACTGCACCGGTTGCTGAGTGCGGAATGTATAGAGCAGAATATCGGAAAACTGAAAGTAAAAGGAGTAAAAAGTGAGGAAAATAATTTTTTTTTAAAAAAGGAAGCTATAAACATTTAACAGGTATACATAATATTTTGGAATATTTCACTCACCAGGAAAAACATCCTCTGCTGAAAACCTTTTCGACTGTACTTCTGTAAGCAGCCCTGTCTGATGAACCTTCGGCCCTCTTGAACAAGATTATCAAAACCACTGATATCTCTTTGTAATTCCCAGAGCTGTACCAGATTTTCCTAAAAAAATATAAAAGAATCCAAAAAATGTATAAAAATAATATAAATAGCCACGGCTAGAATTTTTCATATAAAATATTCTTACTGCCTGGTTCAATACAGAAAGTCCTTCAAGCAGAGTTTCACCAAGTCTATCCCTGGCAGCTAGACAGTCTTCAAAGTCAGTATGATCCTTTGGATAATGATCAAGAAGTCCTACAAACAATAAAAATAATAAAACCATCTTTTCCATTCTAGCATCAAGAACCTCAAAGACATTCTCGCATGAGACTCACTATCAATAATACTGTTGTAGTGCAATAATCGCTGAAGTGGCTTTAACAGGAATGAACTCAGCGGAAGATAACATTGCTTCTGAGACTCAAAGTCCCGGCAAAGCTGATCAAATCGTGGCGTGGTTCGTATCGTGTACTCCATCTTCTCCAAGACTGGCATCAAGCTCTCCAAGTACTGATCATATAGTGGCAAGACATTCAGGAGTGTATTGTAAAGGAAATCTCCAATATTGTGTCTCGCATTGCTTTCCCACCGAGCAAGACGGGCTTCCATTTCCTGCAGACATGGTCCATGCGCATCTGCCAGAAATTCCATTAAATGCACTGCAGCATCACCCTCCAGGTCAGTCTCTCTGGGTACTTCCTCCCTGAACAACTGCAGAAATACGATTAAATGTATTTCTGCTGCCACTGTCGATTGGTCGTAAACCGTGCACATTGTAAAATTTGAACAATGGCTGTATTCAACAGAAAACTGCGCTAGGACAGCGATCATATTCGATTACTCGATCGATCGTAAATCTTGCAACAGTTGTAAAATTTCACCAATCAGATACGTTTACTCCCGCAACGTTGTGTCTGCTGAACGCAGCCATTATAAACCATTAAACCTCGTTACCTACACTTTCTGCACTGTCCAAAGAGTGCCAATTCTTATTGGATGATATTTTCAAGTAACCAATGAGAATCTGCACTTTTTGAAAATTGCAGAAAGTGTAGGTAACGAGGCCAGACGTAATGTATATTATTACATATATTACCACATTAATAACATCCAAATCTTTCTTGTAAGTGCGTTCAGTCATAAGAAGTTCCTTGGCGATAAAGTAGGCTTTGTCCGTTGGCCATCTCTGAAATTAACAGAGTTATTTTCAGTGACGTTATCAATGATATTTTATTACAAAATTTCATGGTGTCTTACGCACCTTAGTCTTACGCACGTCAGGATCATCCATTTCCCCATTCTTCATGTTCTTCACTGGACTTAAATCCGGCGTGTTGGCCAGACTGACGTTACCAATTTCCGTGTGTCCGTTTGCTTGTTTGTCAGGTGAACGCGAGTTTGAAAATAAGGAATTGTTGTTCTCTTGCTTCGTTGGCGAATCCTGCTTCTCCGTTTCGGTATCTGTAATCGATAATCAGTTAATATGTTGTAAACAGAGATATGTTAAGGGTCAGTGGTAAAAGGTATTTATTATCATATATACCTGAGCATGTATAGGACGGCAAGCATAATAATAGACATGCTACGGTGCAGTGGGGTAGTATTTATACATATATTATAATATATAAAAAAATTATTTTTTATTTCTGCCACACAGGTAAGTCTTTAAGTCCTCAAGGACAAAGAGTAAAAGGACAATGGGAAAATCTTAACGAGACTCGTTCTGAACAGTATTGTGAAGTCGCTTTTTTGGAACCCAAGACCATTTCATAGCTTTTATTAATAATGAGATTGACGTGATCGAGTTTTGCGCGTGGAAAAGAAAAATTATTTCAGAAGAAAATACAGTATCTAACATGCTTATCACGGTGGATCATGTACTGATAACTATAAAACGTGCTTTCGCTAAGTGGCGTAACTCACGGAACGATTTTGAAATTTTTTTTTCAAAATTTAATCAACTAAAGATACTCTACTCGCCCTCGCATGGGACGCTTGTTGCAAAGAAGCCAGCCTAGCCAGCCTGGATCGACCAGCTAGTGGAAATGAAAATTTTCTTTCAGTTTGCAAATCAAAAGATGGTACGTACGAGAACATATGATCTAATAGGCAAAGGTCAATCTGGATGCAATGGCGATTAGGCAGTTCGAATTTAAGTTTTAACAATTTCAGTAATTAGTCACGGTTAATGATTTTTGTTCAAATACAACATATATTTTTTTTTATAAAATTCTCTTTATCCAGCATCTTTGGTCCATTGCAACCAGACTCACTCTAAGCTGGTTCCTCTAAGTGGCTGGTGGTCTTAACACTGAGAGTTTTCACAGTTAGATAGGTTTTTGGGAATTACTCACACAATGGTATTGTCATCCAGTCGACCAACAATTCCAGGAGTGCAATAAAAAATAAGTGAATAGAAAGGAAAGAACTGACCAAAAAGAGATAACCAAAGATGGGATACTTAGATACTTAACGTGACAAAAATTTCAAAAAAAATAATTGCACGTGATAAGGATTGGTCATTACATGTTTTTTTTTCCCTTACGGTATTCAAACGTGAAATCAAAGAGAAACTTCGAAAATAAACGAAATTACTGACGCCTGTGGAATGACTTTGTATATAATTTATTATTATCATAATTATGTATCAATAATCAATGTACAATAGATTTTCCTCCACAAACGTTCATTTGAGAGAAAAAACGGTAACGGGTAAAGTTAACAAGTACGTTATTTAAATATTAAAATTACACGAATACAAATGAAAAATATTGGCGACACAACAGACGTATTGTTTAAATTGTAAACTCGGTCTTGTCTTTGGTTTTCCCTTTTTTTTTTCTTTTAATACCCTCCCTCTATCGATTTTTCCCGTTCTCCCTTTTTTTCCCACGAAAAAAAAATGTCCACTACATTTTCTCATTACTTAAGTCAGTCGGCGTACAGGTCGTCGCTTACAACGCGTCTGTTCGACTATTTGAAATTTTTCATCGTAATCGTTACGCGAGATACGAGATTCCATCGCACGAAAAAGGCTTCTTTATATTTTCTACTATGAACACGATTCGCTAATATATATATATGTATATATATATATATATCTACTAAAAAAAAAAAAATAAACACGGCTCATGAATCTCGTAGTAATTCGCGACTCGAGCACGCGAAGTATTCCGAAATTTACAAGTAATCGCGTGCTGAATGAATTTTGAAAAAAAAAACAACAGTTTCGGCACATAATCAATCACGCATTCCCGCATTCCTGCATTCTCTCTTTTGTCTATATTATCAGAGAATTTGAATTAACGGTACTCGCCTTGTACGTACATACAATATGGCGGACTTACAGTACCTTTGTCATGCTCATTGTCGAGAGTACACTGTTTCTTTTTCTTGTCTTCACATTAAATTCCATTTTTAAAAAAAAACGCGACATACGACCGTCGGACGCGGAAGATGATTGTGTGTGTCTTTTATCTGGAAATATTATCTTATTCGACTTCGTTCTATCTCGCTCGTTTTTTTGCTTAATTTTCGAATGATTTACGCCAACCAACAGTCTGTTGACATTCGTTGGTCTTGCTGCTTATTGAAAACGGTCAGCAGGTGGTGATTACTTGTCCAAATATAAGAGATGTATAATGTGAGCCTATGATGATTAAAAAAAAATATTTTTCTTTATTTCTTTTTTAGTTTGTATCCAATGGCAGACAAAGCAACTCCGAGAGAGGTACTGTTGCTTTGTATTTTTTTTTTTTTTTTCAAAAAGTAAAGACGGAAAGATCACGCGCAGGATCCGTGCCGTGTGAGGCGGAAGACAGATCGGTATCGAAAAATGATGTGCATACGTTATGTTGGAAGACTGCTAAGAATTTTCCGCATGTGATTGAAATTCTTTTTTTTTTCAAAATTTATTATAAACTTTTGCGGAAATTCATTGGCTTACATTTGGACCGGGCTTCGTCGTCATGCAGAGTGTAAACGGCTCTTACGTTCACTTTCAAAACTGATACTCCGGACTTTGGATCAGGGATCTTTGACACGTTTGGTCGGCGGCTGTTTCGCGAGTGTACAATAGGAAATACAGTGAGCAGAAATTAAGATAAAGGAAAAAGTAAAAGCAAAGTGTTACACGACTGTTGATCGTTATGGCCAATCGCAGGGTAAAAAGGAGAAAAACGTAATTAGAAAAAAAAAAGATAAAACATTCTATATTTTTTTTCAAAAATTTTTCTCCCTTTTTTTTACGAAACAGCCATTTGAAATACCTGTGGAAGAATTTCGTATGAACTCATTAAAGATCTTTGTAGTGACGAAAGATGGTCAAAAATCGTATCTAAAATAGACAAATAGACAGACAGATAAATAGAGTGAGTGAGTGAGTGATGATGAAAAAGTGAAGAAGTCAAAATCAAAATTTACAATCATAACGGTAATAATGATGCTGGAAGATATCGTGACGACATTATTCGTGAGTTCAATATCAGGTGAACGATCGAAAAATTGGAGAGTGGTGAGAAAGAAAATCTTCATGACAAAATGCCGGTATGTGATTGGTGATATCGGTGATCTGTGAATAACGACAATAATAACAATAATAGGGTCGCTACGCAATGGTTCACAATGTAAATATAGATATCGATATATAGATGCGGGCAACATTTCAGCAGGTAACCATACAAAGAAACAGTATGGTGGGGGGATAAATATGCAATTACTAAAAAAAAAATGACGAAAACATATCAAGCAGAAAATAAAAGTTTTTAAGAATTACAAAAAAAGGATAAAAAAATTTTGTATGATTTTAGGGAAATTCGTGATGGTCATAACGACATATATAGTACGTGTAATTAAAGTGACACGTAATTAAGCACATGAAATATCAACAAAGCTACAGCTACGGCAACTAAACAGGCTGAAGAGCGTGTAAAAAATAAAATTGGTGTGAAGAAACCTTAATTCTCAATTCTGGACTGAAGTGTAATCGAAGTGAACTCTCAGCAGGCCTATCGAAATGGCCTGTTCAGAAGACGAAGTCTTTGATGGCACGAGATTGTGATTAATCGTCGTGCATTTTCGAATGCACCGAACGAGTAGCAAACTGAAGTACAATAATTATCAAGGCAAAATTATAATCACGAGTATTATTAAAGGGATACCCGTAACCGTGACTAGCACGATGTATACAGGGTGATTCAGATACGCGTTACATAATTAACTGGTTCCAGATATAAAAAGTTGCATATGTATACAAAACTGATAAATAATGTCGATATACACTATATATAATACAAAAGAAAATTCACCAGCGTAAAAAAAATGCCGAAAATAAAAAATGATTATACAAAAATAACAAAACGACTAAGAAAATTCATATCTAAATTCGCTAATCGTCTATATCTCTATGACAATAGATGCAAAACAGTAAGAATAAAATTGAAGGACGATCCATAACGTCTTTGATATGAATATAAAAAAAGATAATGATAATATTAATCGATCACGATTAACTTCAAATGATCTCAATGTTCGAAAGATCGTTACGGGATCTCCGTAGTGTAATACTGAAACAACGTCTAAGGTAATTTTTGAATCTCGTATATCTTGTCTGGGGTAGAAAAGTCGTGTGCGTAAAGGCTGTTGCGAATGTTATAAAAGAGACGCTGATGGTTCAAAGATAAAAGAAAGGGTATGGAAATATAACGTGAGAGCATATCAGCAGCTAATTAAAAAAAAAAAGACAGCTAAAGAGAAGCAGCAACGCATCTATGTATCTTGATTAATGTCGCAAACAAGGGAGTCTCTTTATAACTCCGTCATTTTGTTCTCTTGGTCGCTTGGAAATACGTGGTATTCGGTTCATCGGCCACTGGCCACATCTCATCGTGGATAAGCTGGTAAGAATCGATTGGTCAGGGTGCGTGGCGTTGCGTGAACCATTACGTTACGCACCTGGGAGACCCGATACGGCACGTGCCAAGCCGGCGAGTTCACGTACCCATTCGAATAGGTCCAACGGTTGTAATCACCACCTGCCAAAATGTATCTCGTCTGTCAAAATGTCACTAGCAGCGATTAGGGAGGCTAAGGGAGTCTGTCGTATCCGATCGTGAAACTTTACTCGGATAGCCCGTTTAGGAGAAACAAATTTTTCTCACGACCGACCCGCGACACGCTGCAATCTCATTTAGACAATAGGTGCATTATGCACGTTTAACATTTTAGTTTATACTCTACGATGTATAATTGACTGAGAATGTCTTTTACATCCGCGCCATCTGGATACTGGACGTATTTCGAATAACTTTAGTGTCGTATTTTTGCAGCGTCGGTAAAACAGATTTTTACAGAAGAAACTCGATGGGAAAGAAGTATTATGTGGATGATCGCGGCACTTGTGTGATTTTAATGGGTTTTCCTCCCTTTGGATTAAAATTTTTTTTTTTTTTTAATAATCTCGATTCGGACACGACAAATGAGAGGTTTGATTTTTTTTTCGGAGGCCGATACACACACATACATCGCGGTCGTACTATATTGGAGCGTTTCTTTTCATCCCTCGTGGATGAACTTATTGCGCGAAATACTTAGGAGCGTCTTTAATTTTTTATCGTTTTTGTTTTAAATTCCCCTTAATTTTTTTTTCACTTTTATTTCGTCGAAGCGTCTCAAGATCATCTCTCTGTACCTTCCTACACTGAAAGAATTTTTCGAGATTCATATACGACTCGTCTTCTAATAAATACCTTGTTCCCTAATCGTAAGTATTTATGACTCTTAATGCGTGTGTATATATATATGATATGTATATCATATATATATAAACCTATATTAAAAATACCGTTAATCATTAATAAGTACAGTATATTCAGTCGTTTGCTAATACTGAAAGAGCGAGAAAAAAACGTAGTTTGTTTCGGGTCCGACCTGACACGACCTCACCTCGAGCCTTCATTGAGATCAACGTTATTTCAATAGCCATTGTCTCTATCTGCTTAATTGTGCATATTAATATTATTTTTTAATCCGCTCGTTCCAAATTACCAGGCTCGAGATTGGCGTTCGCGCGTTATTCAATATGTCTGTACCTAAGTACAAGTCGCACAAGAAGAGTAAGTCTAAATGAATGTGATAAAAAAAGAGAGAAAAAAAAACGAAGACGTGACAAAAATAATATTTACAAAATATTAATTGAAATGAATGAGAGAATAACAGTGCGTAAAACATTGTGCGAATGATTTGGGTCTCACAGGGTATATGGTTATCATTGGATATGACCTAATGATGATTGATATATCCTATTACTTCGCATATTCATGGAACAGGGTTATGTCTTGTGACGATGCACAGATGCAAGAAACAAAGTACGATTGTAGAAAAAAAAAATTAAAATTTGAGATTGGGTGGAGTTGATCATCATCTCTATGACGTATGTGGATGCGTGAGGTGAACATAATCGTTAAGGATTTTCGGCTTTTAGTCTAAACACATGATAGCCTACAGTTTGAGCATGTTATTGAAAATACAGAATGACATTGGTAAAAAAAATTCTTAACTATTTTAACGTTTAATTTTGTCATTTAAATGCACTTTATTATCAAGCAGATCAATTTTGAATTTGAACTAAAATAATGGCAGACATTTTGAGAACTTTCAGCGTACCCCATTTGTCAGTAGAAATTAATTGTCGCGATAGAAACTTCACTTGGTACAATTAGGTACTGTAATATTTTCAGTAAAAATTATGTAAAAATTAAAAAAAATTTCTTTTTAGTAATATTCAGATGATGCTTATGGATTAATATACCAAATTATATGCTCGTGACAGATGTATACTTGGTTATTTTTTTTTCTACTTGTCTCTGTACTTTGAATAGGTTGGAATAGCCGAATCTCCTTAATCGCTAATGACGATAATCGTTCCATAGATGTTGCATGCCACAACGATAATGAAACTAAGGAAGATAACGAGAGAGATACCTTGGTAGAAATTTCATTCAGAGTTCAAATTTCTATCAGAGTAAACGATGAAGTTTGCGATTAACAAAACTCGAAGATGAAAGATCGATACTTAGCACGTCTAGCAGACACGTGTTTCAATCCTAAAACAGCGTTTAACGATACTCTTTCTTTTTTCTTCTTTCAACAGCCTAACAACTAATTTTTCACGTTCCATTCCTTTTCTCGTCGTTCCGCGTTTCTCGAGTGAAATATCCCATTTCCGCGTTCCTTCTGTCAAGGGCTTTGGCTACGCCTCGCGTCCGTGTTCGTTTTTCTTCCACGTTTTATTTCATGACATCGCGCGATTGGAAATTTGAAATTTTTCAAAATTTTTCACTCAAACAAAAATCGCGACGAACATTGACACACGGAGGTAAAATTCCATCGTGACGTCGGCACTCAGCGCCTTATTTTTTCATTTGATTATCCATATGTATACTTTTTTGATAATCCTGTCCCTGTCTAATATGTGTATATTTATATATATATTTATATATATAGATTTATACGTATAATCGTACGAGTACACTACGTTATAATAGGTACCTGTAATGTATGTATGTAATGTGTGCGCGCGAATATTATCATTTAATAAATGCCGCCTTGCAATTACGTGTATTCGTAAAAATGACTTGTTATTACGAACTACCCTTAATTTCAAATGCATATGAGTGGGTGAGTGAGGGTGGGGAGGGAGGGAGGGAAATAGTGAGTTGGAAGAAGGGAGGGGGGGTATATGTCTAGATAACCATTTTAAAAATTGTTAAATACTACAAATCTCCTAATACATTATCGAAACGACTATTAATATTCGTTTGTAAGTAAAAAAGAAAGATACCGAAAAAGGGGGAAATAATATCGCACAGCGAGGTAAATTTTCTTTTTCAACGTTCCTGCGCTTTAATATCCTGTGACGTATTTCATTTTCTTTTTTTTTTTACCTTTATCGTTATCTCAACCCGTTTCTAGGTCTCTATATAACATTTTGGGAATCGACTTTTCTTTTTGAAAATTCTTTCCAATTTAAACGCGCGGTTCGTACCGAGACCGGTCCCCCGAACAAAATTGTAATTTATATCTAGCAGTATATTTTGAAAACTTTTTTAAACGTCCCGCGTCTCGATACACGCATGCGCATTACCTTCGTTCGTCTACCGTGAGAATATTAAACTCTCTGGTAATAAGGTTTTCCTTTCTCTTAAGGATTCTACTACGAGAAATCGAGAACGTGTGGGATAACGCTTTTACGTTTCTGCGTTTGTAAAGATTAGCAAAAAATCGTTTATACCCGAGAATCTCTTAGTTTTAATTACGCAATTTTCGTTCTACGCGAGTATGCCAAAATCACTACTGGATACGTTAATCGCAACTCGATCGCGATATTATGATAATTATATAATATTATTTAATTAATTAAATCTACTCATTCGAAAACTACGTCAATTGAGTCGTTTTACATAATTATTATTATGTATGTATACAACGTGTATCACCTATCTAGACGAGTATTTCGATTGATTTATCATTAATAAATTTAGTGCCAGGAGTTCATTCGCTACGCGCATGCGCATTTAACGATTAGCAGTGAAATGCCATATTCATTCGTTTTATTAAAGTTTTTTTTTTCTTTTTCCTTATTAAGATTAAATCTCTTCCATTCGATTTCTATTCTTTTCTCTCTCATGCGTTCAACCCTCTCCTTGCAGTTATTTCTACCCTCGCACGTATGAATTTCTCCAAATTTCAATGCACGTCGACCATTCAAGTAATGCCCGGGAAATTATTATTTAATTCCAATCTGACTTATTCGATCTCAATACAGCCTGTCGAAATTACCGCTTGTTTACGTATTTCTCGTCTTTTCGTACCTCCTTTATCTTTTGTCTATTTTTTTCTTCACTTTTAACGTCGATCTTCGTATATTAAAAAGTCGTTACAATGGAAACGGTATAAAAACTAGGCACGATACAAGCTGAAATCAATGGGACATTTTCGATGAAAACTTCTCTTTTTTTTTTAATATTTCCTTTTTTTTCATCTCTCACAAAAGGACAACGTAAACAAGAAGTATTTGTCGTCCTATCAATTTATCTCGTCTCACTGGCCGACACGTGTCCACATTTTATTTATTTTTTTTCGTTTATCCAATAAAATTATTCCCCTCTAACTATTGCAATTCCATAATTTCGAACGGAAGAATCCTAGTGAGATCGATATAATACTTGACTTCCTTTGTTAACTTTTTAAAAATCTACTTTGAGCAACGTTCACCCACATTTTCTCTAGAGACATGAACAAAGGACTAGACGGCGAAATTATTCGTTTGCCTGAATTATCCTTCGTGTCGAAACGATTCGGTAACGTAATCAAGAGGCGCCTTTTTTATCAGTTGACATATTTTTAAATTCTTTTTTTTTCCATTAGTAAAGAGCTCGCGCGATGATTGTCATCCTCGTAAACTGAAATCGTATGGCACGATCAAATCGCTCGAATCATTAACGTCCATATAGATAATTATTCCCGTATCCTAATCCTTGATGATCATCATCATAATCGTCATCGTTATCGTCGTCGTAATTCGTAATTAATTTTTTTTTATATAGATATTTAAATATATCATTTATAGTGTACGACTAGAATAATTATTTAACATGACAATTATCAATAAAGCATTGCACAAGTCTTGTTCATCGGTAATACTCCCTCAGCTACGAAATAATACGTAAAGTCTTAATCGTTTATGTAATAGACTTTAATAAGTAATCGCATTAAAATGAAGATTTAGATCTCTCTAAGAACGCGTATAACAAATACTATTATCCCTATTGACTACGTCTAAAAGTATTCTGTCTTTCTCTCTAACCCTCTATCTTATTCCTATCTCATCAATTTGCGCGCAATCAACAATAATCATTAAGTCGGATACCTCGTGCTATCAAGAATTCAATTAGATTCCCTCCTTACAAGTCCTAACCTCGCGCAACTCTAATCGTTATTCATCGCTCGCGACTATCCCAGTTACCCGAACCGTTAATTACTAAATAAACGTATTTAACGTGACAACCGATTTTCACGTTACTCAAAAATACGCGATTCCTAACCGGAGGACAGCATACGGTATTATTAATAGATTAATCCGGAAACGCCATTCCCTTTGTACAACTTGATCATCCTAATCAATTCTAATGCACCGATTGCTTGTGCTATGTACGACACGTGTAAGTCAGTATCAATTCCACGTTACTCTTATGTACGTATATGGAGAGTATGATAATTCTTCAGTGACTAGTCTTCTTGATCAGTGGAATAATTTAAATTTAGTTTAGACGCCTGAATAGGATGCACGTAGAATGACTAGAAAGAAAGAAGAAAAGAAAAAAGATCATCGAATCCTCACTTCCTGTCTAATAGGCGGAGCTAGTGGCGACCTGATCATACGAAGGAACTTCAGCGCCGTTTTTGGCACTGCTCGTTGTTCTTGGAGTCAGACAATTCATCGTCATCGATGTCAACGCTTTGTTCGGTTAGAAGAGGCGGTGGTATGTTAGCCACGTCGAAGCTGGAGTCGGTACTGGAGACAATGTGGTGTCCACCCTTAACCTCGAGGTCAACGACAACACGATGCCGTCGCTTGATATTCTGCTGTCTCTTCCTCCTGAACGCTCTAGGTTCTGGGGTATGTCCAGGACTGTCCATACTGGATGAAGTGTCACCCTCACTCTGAGGACTCCTACTGGAAGAGTATGTCATTGTCTTCGTTCGAATTTGTGCCTTGACTTGCATCGGTGGACTTGACGTGGTGGATTCACCACTGAGACTCGTCGTTGAATAATACGGCGTCGATTTTGCTCTTATCGGTACGATAACAGGCCGCTCTGTAGACCTCGTGCCGTGCCTTTGATCGTAAACCGGTTCCGAGTAGCCGCGCTCGAATCTATTTAATGGCTTCTCTTCGAAACGCTTCTGCAGTTTTGCCTCCAGGGTTTTCTGATCCTCGTAGGAGACCCGATCCTCGTCGTACTCGTATCGGGTCGAGGACGCTAAACTGGCGTAGCGCTCGTGCATGTCCTCGTACGAGTCACCTCTAGTCACCTCCATTCTCACTTGATCACTGCTTGAATACTTCATCGCCGGTACATTATCGTACAGCTGCTCCTCCTCGTCCTCTTCTGGTATCGGTCCGGGTATATCTGGAAGTTCTGTGAATTCAATATGGTTATCGTAGTCCTCGGCATGGAAAGTGATTCGCGGTGGTGATATATCGGCGAATGCTGATTTGTTTGACTGATCTTCGTCGTACTGATGCTTGTCAAATTGACTTTCAACGAACTTACGTGCCTCGTCGAATTCTGCTGCTTCGTCCTCGTCCACCTTCTCCGTCTCTTCCGGTTCGTTGCCTGAATCAAATTGCCGTCCGTCGAACTGAGCTTCGTAATCGAATTGACCCTCGTCCAATATCACGTTTCCGGATTGCTCAAAAACTGGTGGGCTGTCGTTGGTATTGGACTCCCGTTGACACTTTGAATTTGGCCTCATGCTGGTGACACTCTTCTCTGACGTTGTCGTGTCACTTTGACTCTTTTCTGTGCCTACTGCTGAGTAATACTGTTGTGGTATTACGGTTGTGCTGCCTGACCAGTCTGATATGGATGCTCCTAGTTCGGCTAAAGAATTATCATCGGACTTGGTACCAGAATATTGACAGAATTGACGTACGGTATTATTTGAACTTGACCATTCTGACATTGACAGTCCCATCGAAGTGTCCTCGCTATGAGAGGAACCCGTTATGTATGAATTTGATTTTGGCTTCACTGCAATCTTTATTGTACCATCCACTGTCGTTGCTGAAGCGGAACTCTGACCGTCTTCGAGAAGCGTCGAATGAAGATCATCGTGAAGCGTACGATTTTCATCGCTCGAGTCGCTGTCATGATCTACACGTTCCGGAGTATCTGTACTGTCAGTCACCATCACCTTGACAGCTTCTTCCGGTTTTATTTCCATGTAGAAGGTCTCCACGTGACTCACCACTGGGGTATCGAATAAGGGCGAGCTTGGTGGCGATGGCCAATCTTCAGAAGCTTGAAGTTGTAGCTTAGACTTGACTTTGGGAGACCTCGCTTCATCCTCCTGAGTATTTACTATGTCGATGGGTATATCCGGGAGTTCGGATGAAGTTCTACGGTCATCTGATACAGAAGGTAACGCTGTTCCCGATGGGGGATCTGAGGATAGAGAAGGTTGATGATCACTGGACATCAGAGACTCGTCGTCTAGACTCGGTGATCTGGAGCTTGGCTTAAAAGAATCCTCCAGGTCGCTTTTATCTTGTTCCGAAGTTGTTGATCTTTCTGATATCCTGGATAACGTTCTGGATAATGAAAAAGCACAGCCATAATTCGCCAGGATTTCAGGGCCTATTGCGTATCCAAACCCGACTGAGAAATCTGCTAGATCTTCCTGAAAGCTATCTTCGTTCTGTCCATTGCTGTCCTCCGATTGGGATTGTGGTTGATTGTTGTCATCTTGCGGAAGCCATCCTTCCTCCAGACTCGAACTGCCTGAACTCTCCAGTGGGAATGGCTTCCAGGTTGAGCTGAGTTCAACTTTTGGCGCTGGATGAGAACCGCTGCTGCTTTCTTCTTCCATTGAACCTTCTTTACGGGACTCCTTTATCATGGCGATTTCACGACGATCGATTATCGGCTGGATCTGACCGATTCCCAGAGGACGAGCAATGGAGCAGGAACTAGAGTCCGGATCCTCTCTATCCGGGGTCCACGTATTCGTTTCCTCACTTCGTGAACGTTCTGTGCTCAACCTCAATTTCCTATCTATTGACAATCTATTATTATCCAGGACGTCCTTAGCTTCCTTATCGGCAGGTTCATCCTCCGGTAATTCCTCGGCGCCTTCCTCATCCTCTTTCTTCATATCCAGGTACTCCGGAGTAAGCTCGACCTCTACTAAGGTCTTCTCATCCATTTTGTCAGCGCCATAATCCGGTGAACTTAGTTCACTGTCTGCGCCCTGCACCTGCACCTGGGTATCCAGGGCATCCAGAGTGTCTTCGCTTGTATCACCAGAATCCAATCTTTTCTTTTCTTTTATGTCAACGTGAAATGTCTCTTGCAATTCATCTTCCTGGTCACTGCGAGGAATCTCTTCGTCAGAGCATTCTTCAATTGATATTTGAATCGGTGACTTTACCATATCCTGTTTGTTATCCTGATTGAAGTCATCTATCTCAGGTAAGACGACGTTGATTTCACTGGATACCATCACGTTAGGAGGTTCATCCTTATCTGTAGAACTTCTTGAACTCGATTCTAAAAATGTCTCTTTTTTATATGAATTTTGATCAATCGACATTTTTACTTGTCCACCATGTCTCTCGCCATCAGAACTATCAGTTCCACTAGAAAATTCAGACTTTGATCTCCTGTGCCTACTGAAATCCAGGGTACCGACTCTTTCCAATTTACTTGGTCTGGTAGAACGACTAATTTTATCTGACTTCACCTCCGTCGCCTCTTGTTGCGGCTCTGGTTCGGTTCCTGATTCGGCTGAGCTTTGATCGATGAATTTTGTCGTCTCAGGCAATGATTTCGGTTCGCTGATCTCTGTTGAGTCACGCATGAACTGCAATTGAACTTCTTGTTCATAAGGAATTAAATCAGGACACGTGACAATTTCATTACACTCAGTCAACGGCGATTCCAAATACTGTGCTGATGTTTCTGTTACAGATAGAGAATCCGTGCAAAATTCCGGTATGGTCGTGTGATCGGTACTGTCTGATTTGTGATTGGGCGATGCTTCCATTTGTATCGATTGTGGCTTTGATACCTGATTGGCCTCCACATTTTCATCCGATCCATTTTCCTGATCCTCCACTCCCTCACTTACATCTACCGTGTCATCCTTGCTAGAAAATGCATTCGCTGGTGGTAATCTGTGGACAGAAATCACTGGAGCATCTAGGGATTTTGCTCTACGTTGAGCAGTTGGCGACAATGTCACACTTTGCCTCTTTAGAGCACCCATTCCACTTCCTTCTGACAGCCCAAGACGAGCTCTTGCAAAGAGCACAGGACTCTGTCCAGGTTTCCTTAAGACTATTGGGGACTGTGCTAGTTCTTGACCCGATACTGCTTTCCTAGTGTCTTTTTTTCTGTCAGGCTTTGATCGTTTTGGATCAGACGATTGATCAGCATCCGAATCGGACTTCGTTTCCACTTTTGAATCCTTTCTCTTGTCTGTGCTTGATCGCCTTAAGTCACTCGATTGATCCGCATCGGAGTCAGACTTGATCTCTGATCTTGACTCCTCAGGTTTTGGGTCTGCCTTTGTCGGAGTCATTAATTTTGATGACTCAGGCTTGACTGAATTGGTTTTCACTGTCGACTTCACACTGGTTGTTCTCTTTGGTGATATTTTCTCTAGAGAATCCTTCTTTTCTGTACTCCCTAGACTCTTGGAAATTCCTAGGGACTTTGGTCGTGGTTTATCGCTCTTTAAATTTCCAGAACCCTTTATCATGTCGTCGTCGACCGAAGCTGATTTTGCTCTTGGCTTCTTTGATTCTTCCTTTTCTTCCTTTGACGTAGAGAATGACCTGTCAGACAGTTTAGTGACGGACTTTGATCTTCCTTTCTGTACTATGCTCACCTCTGGAGCCACATCGGTGGAGTCTATTATGATTATTTCCTGCGGCATCTCACCCAGTTTCAATTTTGACTTGTCAATCTTTGAACTTGCTGGGGACGTGCGCGATTCCTTCGATCCTGTTTTTTTCAATGGCGGTTTATCGGCCTCCAACGATTTTGATTGCTTCTTAAAATCCTTTTTCGGCTCGGATTTCATCTTCTTCGCTCTCTTTGGCGATATATCTTGTACGAAGTGCTTGTTTTCCACTTCAGGTGATAGTAAAGTGTCTATCGGTGCTTTATCTTCGGCCAATGATAATGATTTTGATCTTAATGGCTCAGCATGCGGTCTCAACATGAATGGTGTAAATTCGGGAACTTTGAGACTATCTAATTCTAAAGCTGGTTTCACTGGTACTTCGTCCAATGGCAGATCTGCTACGGGATCTACGAAGTCATCGTATCCAGTGTCAATGATTTTGGGCCGGGATACTTTCGTAGGTGAATTTTTAGAGATTTCTGTAAATCGCGATTCTATTCTGTCCAAGATACGCTTAGTTTTCTCTGGAATACTAGGTTTTTCTGGTAACTTCGATTTTTCATTAGACTCTTCGGATTTTCCAGGAATATCATTTCGGTTTGATTTATCAGCCTCCGGTGAAGTAGTCATTTCGCTCTTCCTTGAGGACTGTTCTGACAAACCCTGTTTTGCAAGTAAATTTTGTTTCGGTGGCAATGGTGGCTTTTCGGGCACTATAGATTTTTCCAGAACTTCTGCACGCTTCTCGGTAACTCCCTGTTTTACTGGTAACGGCGATTCTTCCTGATCAACATTTTTCACAGGAATTTCAGGCAATGGAATTTTTTCAATACTATCCTGCTTCTCCAGACCGTCCTCAGGAACTTTCAATTTCTCCTTTTCGCGTCTCTCCAGTTCCTGTTTGATCTCCATGCCAACGACATCAGCAAAGTTAATAGCAGCTTTCTCCCTGGAGTGCGTCTTCTCCAAGGTGCCAGGACTCCTGGTTCCAGATTCAGGTTTTCTCTTTTCAATCATAGATATGATTGTCACCCCAGCCTCGTTTGGAGAAAGTTTCGGTGATCTTTTCTCAATCGCTGAAATAATAGTAACACTGGGTTCAACAGGTGACAACAAAGTCTTTTTATCCAAACTAGGAGATTTCGATCTATCAACAAAAGAGGCATCAGATCTGGCCCTTACCAACGAATTAGACTTGTTAGAGCATTTGTCATAGCTCGGAATTTCCCTCGACGGACTCTTATCAATCGGTGAAAAACTAGAAACAATACTATTCTGATCAACAGGTGAGACTTTTGAAGTAGGACTAAGAGTACTTCTCTGCTTATCGGGACTAATCAAAATACTCCTTGGTTTATCAGGACTGATCAGAATACTCCTTGGTCGATCCGGTGACAAAGTTGCCACTGTTTTCTCCGTGGACGCGATTTTAGTTAGGTCCAAGCAGGACACGTCAGTGACAGTCTTCAAAGGCAACTTGGGTAAATCCTTCGGTAAGGCCTTAGCAGTCTTAGAAGTTTTGCCACTATCCGATTCAGATTTTTCATCAGAGGCAGTGCCATTCATGACATGTCTTTTGTGCAAAGTATAAGGAATCTCCACGTTAGACTTTGGAACACTGTCAGAAAAAGGATCCTCGTCCCCAGAGCCAGCAGGTGTCAGATCAATAGACTTCTGATGTGTCAACATATGTCTTTTGCTATTGGATCCTATCCTTTGTCTGGCAGGATTGGGATCGCTCTTAGTTCTCTCAACAGGAGTATGCGCTGGCAATGCAGTGTCATCAAACCCAAGAACAACACCGCCAATGACTTTTGGATCGTATTCAGTGAAGACTGCCTTGATTTTCGAATCCATCTCATTGGGTATTCCAATAACAGTCTCAGTTCTAGATTCCATAAAGAGCCTAGACTGTCTCTCCCGTTCTCTCCGCTCGTCATCCTTTCTCGCTCTCTCCAGGCTCTTCCAATCATCTCTCTCTCGTGGCTTCTCATCAGACTTGCCTCTCTCAGGCTTTGTCTTGCACCTCCTAGTCTCCTTGCTGCAGTCCAATCTCTCGCTGCTACGTCTGACGTCCAAGCTGCCCCTGTCCAACCGCTCCATGCTCCTACGCTCCCACGAATCCAATTTCTCCATGCTTCTCCTCTCGCCGCTCCTACGTCTCTCCTGCACTCTCTCCTTCGAGTCGCGCCGCTCGAGCGAACTTAAGCGCTCAATAGTCCTCGGATCGAAATCAAAAGTTGGTCGCTCTTTGGAATCCAATCGCTCGACGCTCTTACCTCTCGACTCGCGCAACGGCAAATGCTCGAACGGACTTCTGCTGCCAGAATCGAAGCGTTCCAGTGTGTGACGTTGCTCGCAATCGAGACCAGGTCGACCTGGACTCCTGGGGGACCCCCGAGAATCGAGCCTCTCGACGCTGCGCTCTTTGCGTTCCCTCGAGTCGGCACGTCGAGTTACGTTGCCGCAACTTCTCGAGTCCCGCTCAAGACTCTCCATGCTCTTGCGCAACTCGCGCGAGTCCGATCGCTCGATGCTCTTCCCACGGGGATCCGTAGCGCGATTGAGGCTGCTGCGTTCCTTGGCGGAATCGAGCCTCTCGTAACTTCTCTCCCGCGAATTCAATCTCTCGATGCTCCTGCGCAATTCGCGCGAATCTAGACGCTCCATGCTACGTCGCTCGCGCAAATCCAATCTCTCGATCGATCGACGCTCGCGCGAGTCGGCCTTTTCCATTCTACGAATTTCCCGGGAATTCTCCCGCTCCACCCGCTTTCTCTCCTCCCTCTCTATACTCCTGCGCTCCTTCTCCTGCATCTTGCTCAAGAGCTTCTCCATCTTCGCCTCCGTCTCGCGCGTCTTTCTCTCCCGGGACTTGTGACCTCTACCTAGACTACCGGTCTCTACGTAATGTCTTGGCAAATCGTCCTCGAGGCTAGCTATACTCCTGGCCCGCATGGTCCTACCGCGATTATTCTGATCCAGGATGGTCCTCTCGGGATCCAACGGACTGAGGTCATCGTCGATCCTTGACTTCGGACGCATTATACCTTCGTCCCTAAGCACCTCCGAATCTACGTGTGTGATCTTGTACTTGGGCTTGAGATTCTTAATCTCGTTAAGGAGCGTCATCTTCTGTTTCTGTACCTGAATTATCAAAGGGTCCTTACGACTGTTAGAATCCTGATGCGGCAGCAGGCTCTTTCTCTGTTGCTCTATGGAATTCGCGTGTCTGGTCTCGAACTTACGTTCTATCTGCGTATTAGATCTTTGGATCCTAGACTCAGTGACGACGTGATCCGCGTCACCCTTACCAGGGGGGGCTGAGTACCGATCGATGGACTTGGATTTGACGTTCTTAAGATCAGCGAGCACGGATTTGAAGTGTTGCTTATCGGTAGACTTTATCGATCTATGCTTCACGAAGGAGTCTGTCTCCGAGTCCATCTGGAACATCTCGTGCTCGATACCCTCGTCCGAGTTGTCCGAGATGGGCTCGTTATCGTCCCGCGGACTCGAGTACGATTCCGGATACTCAAACTCCTGCTCGCGTTCCAGAAGCTCGTAGGAATCGTGGGACAGGTCGTCGTGGGACAAATCTCCAACTGGTCCGGACTCCTCGTGTCCCGATTCGGTGGACAACGAGGACGTACCTGGATAGGAGCTACTGTAGACCTTCTCCGGCACGGAGTCGTGATCTAACGAGGGTAACTTTGAGCTTGCCGCGCTATACGATCGGTTACTCTCGTCGTAACGCGTCACGGGATTATCGAGTTCGCCCTGGGAGGGCAACTGAAAGGTCTCGAGGAGCGGCTTGCCACCGGCTGGCTTCTCGCTCTTCGGCCTCGCCTTGCCCGAATCCTCGAAGCTAGACGCGTACAGTTCACGGCAGCTTGCCGAACGCTGCCAAGGATGTCGGGGCATGGGTCGCGGTGGTGGGAATTCAGGAGGACTGCTGTTAGAGGGGCTGATACGACCTGTTGATGAAATCCGTTGTTGACTGGTAGCATGGGACTGACGCAGCGCTGGGCCCTGGCTGGGGGTGGCCGGCGAATGGACGTCTATAGAGGTGAGCGTCCGAAAGGACATAGCTGTGTCGTCGCGACGGTGACTCGTCCCTCCCATCGAGACACTCGTCACAGTCGTCGGAGAATCCAGTGTCATCGAGCCGCATGACAGAGATAGAGCCGGCGTTGCCAGTGCTGAAATCGAGTCAGATGCCTCAAGATCATCGTTTCCAATCTAGCCCAGGAGCAACCTCAAGCTCACAAGCGACGAATGGTCCGACGATAAAGCGTCATAAGCCATTTACCAATGTAATCCCACGAGAGTCGAGAGCACTTTGAAATTGGCAGCTCTCCCCTCTTTCTCATTTTTTTTTTCTTTTTTTTTTTTCTAATAAATTTTTCACAATATATCGAATCAAATAAATGTATAAGCATATCCTACTGACGATACATTATACCACTACTCTACGATAGGACAGTTCGTTATAAGAGTGAGATAGTTATACGATACTGACAAAATTAAAGGAAAGAACTTGGAAAGGAGAAGAAATAAAATTAATAGAAAATAAATAAATAAAGCATTTTGTGTGGTGGTTGGTGTCGGTCGTGGTACATACCGGGGTCGCCGAGGGGCAGGAGTGGATGGGCAGAGATGCTGGAGCAGCCCATTGGGAGAGTATCACGATAGCCTGCCCCATCGGAGCCCTGCAATGCCCTACCACCGCTAGTCTGCCGGAACGAATTGGACCTGCGAGCAAGAGAGAGTCAAGTTCAGCATCAGACCTACGCTGCCAAATGACAAGCTCGTCTGGGACATTGGGTTCTTTTTCTCCCATTATCTTTTCACTTCATATAGTTTCTTCTCATTATTTATCTCCTTCACACCTTTCCCTCGTTACGCTTCTTAATTATATTTTTTCTTTTTTTAGAATCTCATTAAATATCTTCTTTGTCCTCCTTGAACCTCCTTTACCTTGTGAAACTTCCATCTGTGTACTATAGTGTAATGTATATAGTATAGACCCGGTGACAATAGAAAAATTATTAAATTTAATTCATTTTCATCAAATATTGTTTAGAGTATGGGTCCACGCTGACACGTGGCATGTGTGCCTAAGTTTATATACTGAATGTGCATCTTTAACGTTACGGATTGCGATTGGGAAATTTTTATTTAAAAATTCTAATTCCTTAGTCCTCTATTGAGATATGTTACTTCAAACAGCTTTTCGTGGTTCTTAATAAATTTAATTGTCTTTTTCTTACGTTTTTCCCGCCTATCTTTATCTCTACGTATGACAGAGCAGCTGAATTCAATTCTCTTGGTAACCATGCGAATTATCGATTCTCGAACAATGAGACTGAATAGATTTCAATAGAGTGCGGCAAATCTTCTTCACTCGTATTCCTGTCGGTTAAACGTGTTACATATATAAAGGGACTCGAACGTCATTATATGGAATGATCGTAAATCAAATGAACGAAGGTCGATGCACCGCGAACGATAGACGTGAGAACCACGATACCGTTAAACTTTGCATGCTCGTCCAAAGGAAACGCTCAGAAAGCCTACAGCGTGTCCAATATACATGATCATTCAGTTCAAACCTACCAATTAGATTTTACAGCTATCATACAACCGTCTGAAGCACGTATAATAATATTATGAAATATCAATTACACAAGAAACAGTAGCATGGACTCCTGTCAAAACCTAATTCACATGATTTCATTGAATAAGTCTGTATAACAATACACATACATTGTACGTATTAAATAAGTGATACTTTTCATTTGCACGCGAACGAATACGATTTACAGGGATTCACGTGATATCTTGATAATCGTCCACAGTGATCCACGAAAGGAAAAAAGTATTTTTTATAATTATTCTGTTCGTTATAAAGATAATTGTAATTATATATATGTATATACAATTGCAAAAATTGTAATTGGTGCGATAAGTCATTTTTATGTGTTCTATCGTACAGAGAAACTACCGGCTATTATGAATCGTGGGCCCTATACGTACGTATGTATCTGTTCGGCGGGATGGGGACTTTTGGCAAAGGTGGTGAAGTGTGATTACTGTACAGTGACGTTAAGGATCACATCGATGAGGCAATTATTAAATTATTTAGATTATAGGGTACATCGATCATTCGGGTTCATCGTGCCTGATGGTGAGCCTGACTCCCCGCAATCTCTGTCTGAGCAGGCAACACTGACGAACGGAAACAAAGTTACACAAGTAAACGAGAGATTGTATATTTTTTTGTCCTTGTTACGTCTTTCATCAGTCATTTTCAAAGACACTAAATACAGCTGTACGCACGTAGCTTGTCGCGAGGTGCTTCGCGACTTTTTGTGACTTTTAAGAAAAAAGAAGAAAAAAAAGGTTTGGAAATACCGACTCGTGTCCCGGCAAAAGCAAGACCGTGCCACCTCCCGTTCTTATCCACAAGATTGGTGCGCACATTAATTAAAATCTTAATGATTCAAACCAACATCTGATGAGGTGGTGGGTGGGTGGGGGGCAACTTTATATACGCAATGGTACGCATGCACTACCTACGAAATACTGACGTGTTCGGAATTTCTTTCAAATATCTCATACGGCTTCGCCAGTGCTTCAATGGACGAAACTCACCTTTCAAATGTTTGTCTTTTCACGTAGTTGTCGCGCACAAATTCCACTATTTGCTTTTGGGTCTTGCCGCTATACCTGAATGTTAAAGAATAACGTGTAGATTTTTGATTTTTTTTTTCTTTTTTTTTTATGGTATAAATATACCCGTGCTGTACCATTCAGAGATAGATACCTGAATGATGAGCCACGACTGAGCACTCTTGTTTTCTGCCGTACAACACGCTTCACTACGGAACAACGGAAGAAGCCGTGATTCTCGACACACTTCTTCCAAAAGTTCTTGCACTCGTTACGGCCCTCGAAGAAGAACTCGACAGTGTCCTTATAGTAGCCCTGAAGCAGGAAATCGAGGAGAGACAATGAATTTAAGATAACAATGAAAATAATGGATAGGAAGCACTAAAGTTCTTTGAACTTACATAGCCTTCCGGATGCAACTTGATAAGAAATCGTTTCCTTTTGAAACTGATCTTTCTGATCTTCGCCCAGCTGAATGTGTTTATTTTAGTGTAATTTTGGAAAACCACAATGCCCATATGTGCCACGGCCAGATTGAGCGGCACACCTTCGTGATCCTAAAATAGATAAAACAATGATGAACTACGACTTTCTCTGGCAAGAGAAAAAATGTTAGGCAAGAATGAATTATTTATATGAAATAAACCGGACCTTCGCGGGATGCATCTTCATCCCGTAGAGTTCACAGCGTCGTGCAGTTTCCAAAAGATTGACGTCCGCTTCCGCTGGTGATTGTCCCCTGTTAGTCATGATTGATAAATAAAAATTAAGAATATCAACTGACATATTAAACAGGTATTCTAATTATCATAATTCCATTGGAATCCTTACGCATGTTTTTTGTGATTCTCCATTATACGCCGTTCGAATTCTTGATCCTGATGTGGCACGAACTTGAAGACTGACAAATAGGTATGATCCGGATAGTCCTCTACAACGTAGTCACCACATTCAGCTAACAACAGAGAACGATCTTATCAATTTATTCATTCATTTACGTGTAATAATTGCATTCGATCCTTAAACTACGTGACGCTCCATTAAGGAGCCCCATCCAAGGACCAATTGTTATAAAACGTGCACAGTTTTAACAGCTCTTTCGTCACAACCGGTAGAGTACGAGTTATGAAAACCAATGTTTCTACAATGACTCGTGACAATGAGCCAATTGTGCTTAGATTGGCATAATCAAGCCTTCCGTGCCTCTTACATCATTATAGTTTTTTGACGAAAACGTTATCAAGCAATAGTCATATTGGCACTCCATGTAACAATTTGATAACGATTAATATACACTGTCATGCTCTTTTTTTTTAAACATCGATAATCAACATTTAAGGAAATAATTTGTTATATAGATAAATACGAAAATTCCTTACACTGTACGATATAGCTTGCCATCAATGCTGCTGTGTTATCATTACACTGTAACAAGCCTTGGGCTAAATCACGTTTGATTTGCAAGCAGTACAAGTATCTCGTAAACTCCTCTTCAAGTTGTGCAGGATCAGGTGTGTAAAACTTTACGCAGAACCTGAGGAGAGGATCGACCAGCGAGAACCCCACTTGCCTGCACAATGGTTTCTCAAAATCGAGCCAGTACTAGAAAACAAGGAATTTTCTTTTATTGTACATCTCTATTTCACAATTCAGGGGATACTTTAAACTCTTAAAGAGATGTTACCAGAAGACGTACTTTGGTACCGTTCATTTCCTGATATTCGAGTCCAAAATAATCAGCTTCCAAAAGGTGCAGCTGTTTGCAGACTTGATCAAACAGTACCCTGCCCAATGCTTTGGCCTGTAACATAAAGAAAAAGACTTGTCAAGCAAATCGACTGCCAATATATCAGCAAGAGACGTACAGTAGCTTTATTAACCCTTAACTGGCGTCTTGGGTCCCTGGGACTCAGGTTAAATCTTTACATTAGGAGTGTAACTTTCTTGTCATGACACCAGTTAAGGGTTAAGAATTACTCTTGTCCAGAGTAAAATATCAGTGTCCTTTTTACAGGAGGAGTTGAGGAAATCGATATATCGGCCTGCATCTTGCCGCCGACAATATATAGCACATAGTGCACTAAGCGTTAAGATATAGCTGATACATTATGTGCTCTAATAGTTCACCCTCGTGGAAATATTATATAAAGTTTCAGATGGGCTACATGAAAGAGGGTGAATCAGTCAAGGTGAAATGGGCGAACAGCAATTTAGTATTTTAAACTGCGTTACACCAATCGTCGTCAGGGGCGACGACGATGCAGCGTCCGTGGAATCATAGCCATCATGTAGAAGCAATATTGCAATAATGAAGAACATTTTTATCAAATAATATACTATTGGTTTCCAATAATTACGCACTCTCGTCGGCTCGCTCAAGCGGATTTACGTTGCTAAGCATTGGGCTGTGTACGTGCGTTTATGTCTTTTTCTGATTTTCTTATTTTTTTATTTTTGCCTTTCAACCTTGTAGGAAAATATACTCTGTTCACGGTATTATTATTATTTTTCTTTTCAAGATCGTCTTATAGGTTAATTTTTATGTTAAAATTGTAATTAAAGTCTCAGAAGATTCAACCATTCAAAGTGAATGACTTTGTGAAGAACATCAGAAGTGGACTTGCAACCCACACCCCTTGACCTCGATAGTCAATGAGTACGTTAAACTGCCCACGCGGCAATTTACATATAAAGCAATTATTCTAGAAATTAATGTTTTATTAATAGAAAAACTATCAGAATTATCGAAATGTTCATTTGCAATGGGCCAATAATGTTTGTGTAATTTGGGGCACGAAATTGATTGAGTGATTGTGAGAATCTTTGGAAGTAAGTTTTATGTGAAATGTGTAAGTTGGTTTACTCAGTTGTAAGATCTTTTCATTGAAAATGGAAATTTTATCAAGTAAATAAATAATTTTTATCTCTATGCGTTCATTGTACAGGAATAAAAGTGCATAATGAGGGTAACTGATCTAATCCCTATTGGATGAGTGATTAATTGGGAAAGAGTGATATATTTTTGCTCATACATGGCAGTCAATTGATACCTTCGAATCATATCCAATTATACTCTTTGGAAGTCTTATTGAAGCAATAATAGGGCCAATTACTGTCCATTATGGGACTGATAGCATTGTAATATGTCTGAAAGCCAGTGTCTGTAACGCTAGAAAGAAAATCTTTACCAGTTGATTCTAAAGAAGTTTTATGATTTGTATAGTAGGGTTCTGGTGGTGTCTATCGATTATATATAATGATAGTGTTTACTCAACACAAGACAATAATTTTAATATATTTGGTGAATATTATGAAAATATATGTATGTTTTATTTATTCACTTTGTCCAAACATATGATATGCATTAGATAGTATTTCAATGTGGAGTTTCTTATCTACACTCCTTAAAATATGGTAGCATCATTCCTTACATACAGTTTAGTCGCAAGCAATATTAACGATAAGGTCACATACGTGAACTTTTGATAACACTCCGAACAAAGCTTTTTTGTCTGCTTCTCTTAAAGATACGTCACTATATAATTATAAATAGACTAATGATAAGTAAATATATATCACTAACTTTCTATTACTACATAGTGTAAAGGTCTCTAGAATAGCAAAAGGAAATTAAATATAATTTATTACCTGTACTTGAAACATCGTCACAACGTCATCCAACATTTGGACCCGTATAGCAAGCATTTTCCCAGCTTTCCTTGGAGTAGTTGGTGGGGTTCTACTACCACCATCGACACCAGCAGGAGTCGAATGACTGTGAGGCATCTTGGAACCACCACTGTTACCACTCACACTCATCATTCCTATCTCATTCATAATGAACCATTTGTCGTTTTTATTAGTTCAGTATCTCTTCACAAACTTTAATCTTTAATGAAGTGATCGAAATTTCGGAGTCGTGTTAAGAGGTCATCTGGAACAGATAAATCCGATAATTTAGAACACTCACAAAAAAATTAACAATAAAAACTATATCAACACAACATACTACAAATTAAATACAAAATAATATAAAGATGCAGCCCGTTCCTTCAAAGTGACAAATCATTAAAGAATTTCTTAGACACTCGCGTCACAACATAAACCAAGTGAAAAAAGTCGCAATAGCACAGCTTACGAATATTATAACACTCATGTAATTACAATGCAAAATAAAGAACAGATCACCCAAGGATTTAGTACATCGCAAATAATCTTCACTCTCCAGTTATCTCAAAACTGGAAATTTATCGTGGCAAAGAGTCCATGGGGAAATCAAAACGTTGAAGTATCACTATATGATAAAAAAACTACACAATAAATATCTACTCAACGCAAGCCGGATTAGATAGTAACACTATAAGCCATTGATGCATGTGTCCTCAGTAGAAACTGGAATAGACTAATATTTTAGGACAGTGACATAAGGAGCCCGTAGGCACAGAAGGGTAGGGTCGTCCCGTTCGTGCATCGTTACAACACCTACTTTACCGTAGTCTGTACTGAAAATGGAAGCCGGCTTCGGACTAAGAATATTCTAAAAATTCTCCATGTGTTGTAAGCAGCCAATTATCATATACTGAACACAGTCGACAAACAGCAAACAGTTAGTTTCGAGAGGGAGTAGTGAAGGTTTGTTAAAACCCAATTAGAACCAAAAGTCCCATCTTTTCGTCTAACACTGGCAGCACGCCCCAAAACACGAAGCAGCCAGTAGAGTTCATTGATCACTGGCGAGGAGGCTGCTGGCTTTAAACTTTACTCCTTACAGCCTCCTGGTTCACGATTATCACCTGAACGGACACTTACGTTCGCGTGTTCACTGCGGGTCGAGCTTCCGTGGGGTTTTAAGAAAATGCTCGACCGAACAGCAAGAAAATGCTCGAGCTCGAACACACCACACACCCACGGAGCACTGCTTGCCCCTACCTATGGACGAATGAAATAGCAGTGGCTCTCCACCACTTTTAAAGCGTGTAGATATATGTCCTGGGTTACCCTCCTCTTCTTGTATCTTCGACGTAACCATTTGTTCTTCCTACGTGACACTCTGTCGGTAAATACATTGAAAAGAACGCTATATTGCGAAGATCAATAGATAAATAGACGTCTTGCACGGTCCAAGGCTGAAACCAATACCATCCTGATATCGGTTGGATATTGGACAGATACTGCTTTGCTGTTCTACATAGTCCAATTGATCTTGTTATCGGCAGCGTATAATCGTTCTCACTGTTTTATCATACGATAAGAGATATGCACACGATAAGATGGTTATTCCATTTGTCTTCAGTCAACACTATGACGTCTACTTAACCACGGTCAGTAAATGGAAGATTTGCAATGACCAAGTATTCATGTATGGAACACTAATTCACCTTTTTAGATTCCCGACAGATGATGCTACTAGTTTTTTTTCATCCCTTGTTGGGAGTCAAGAGATTCGTTAAAGCTTCGCCTTGTTAAATTTCACAATCCTGTAGAAACCATATAACGAAAAATCAAGATCATAGGAATGACATTATCCACGAACTGTATGACGCAAATATATCGTATCAAATATTAATAGGAAAATATACTGATTTATAGATTTTTACACACAGAACATGGTGTAAACATAGCAGTTGCGTCGAACAGCGCAGGAATTAAGTAATAAGTGGAAAAACGTTTCTAGCAGTCAAGAAATGTAAAACGGACGACTTGTCAGAAAGATTCTACATACAATCTAACAAAATGGATTCCACGACGACAGCGGACGACGTACAGTACTTGTATAAAAGGGTAATGGTACGTTAGACTGTGTAAAGCAGCAGTTGTGAATTCACCCCGTAGGTCAAACTTAACAATAGTTTATCGCGATTGGAAAGTCATCGATCATCTATCGTAATTGGCCCAATGCCCAGTGGTGATGTTGTAAAATTTGAACATGTGATCGATCGGTCTCGCTCGAGTGAAATTGGTCTGTGCGAATCCAACATGTCGATATGGCAATAACAAATTCATACTGCATCCTTAGATATGGATGTACTCTCAAAGTATACTTAAACTCTGTATACTCCCGTGATAACATGATAAGAATGAACTAAAAGTTCTTCTTTGTGACATTGACTGGTTCATTAAAAATCTAATGATATCAGAAATGTCGAATTCGAATTAAATAAATCCACAACACATCACTACGTGTGAAAATAAGCAAGTGTATCTCGATGTGCAGAATTAAAAAATTCATGTATAAAATTAATGAACGTCCATAAGTGACCCCCAATTGTACAAATGAACTTATGTTCCTGTTACGCTCTGTCAGTTGTGGTTGACAGCTGTCATTTTAAAATCACGCCTAAAAAAATTGCATAATAAGTATTTCTAGACGCTTCAACGCGGACGATACTCCAGTGCTACACTTACTACAATTCAAATTCTGACCGTAACGAATCGCCATGACGATTGGGGAGAGTTTTAAATGGGGATGTAATTTTAGTACCGCCCCAATTCTAACAACGAAATGTACTTGAATTTTTTTTTTATTATAATTCAAACTGCAATATTTTCGCAAAGTCGTATCCACGTATTGCTATATTTTATTGTGGGAAATACCCACGTGGGGTTCATAGAGAATTTTGAATAATTCACTTCAGTATTAATGACCCGCTTACACGTAGTCTTATATACAATAAGTAAATATTTTATTACTGCATTGTAATTAGCTGAACGAATTAGCCTTTGACTTACCCAATATACAATTTTATTTAATTTCTATTTATACCCTGAATTTATTATCAGCCCCTATAAACGACTTGCGATATAGCTACACTATGTATCGTAACATTGAATTAATCCAATCTAGTACACTTAACTCTGCACACTCTGTCGGCAGTGATTGAACGAATACGGACGCCGGTGCACAGATGGTACGCGGTTTTGGGTGACCAATGACTTGGAGAATTCGCAAACGAGAAACTCAGCCAAATTGGATGGCCGAACAAACCCTTAATTGGCAAACAAAGATCTTCTTGGTGAATGACGAAGGCTCGTATACAGGGAGGATACAATTGTCAAATATTGAAAGCCGTGAGTGACGCTGCATTAAAAAGAATATTAAAAAAATAAATAATGCAATATGAAAAATTAAGAAATTTATGTGCACAGGTTCAAGGATTCTCCCGAGGATATAATGGACGAAATAAAAGCAGATAGATGGACGATGCAAAAAAAGTAAAAATTATTATACTCACTAAATTAAATCGTCCCCGTACTTATCCTGAGAGACGGCACTAATAACGTGTGGCTTCGTGCAGATGTCTGAGAAACAGAGGCAATTTTTAAGCAGACTGAAACTCAATCCCGTTACACAAGATAAACATGGAGAGTTGACACCTACTACGTAGAATAATGCGTCAGTCTATGCGTGAGTCTATTCTGATTTTATTATTTATGGTTTTATTAGTGTCGGGTATAAAGTGAACTTTTATAATTCCTGAATGTCTCTGTATATAATTTTGCTTGATCGATAGTTATAAGTTGTTTCGGTAATGAATTATGTAGATTATACATTTTTTATTTCACCATAATCATTGAATCACGTATTACTTTTGACAGGTTCGAATGATTTACTTAGTTTACTACAGGCCTATTGGACGTCGGACCATGTTCCTATTGACGATTCAACAACTATTTCATATAATTGCTACGAAGTAGCAACTAGACCTAACTATATCTAAGACAAACTATATCTCCAGACTGAACTATATCTAACTTCACATTTCTAAATACGTCTGGAGAACTGGCAACAATATTTTGATAATATTTTCGACCTGCAACAAATTATTTCTAACATGGATCATTCTACTAAAGTAACTATACGTAGATTATGAATACTTACAACGTGGAATGCATAAGAAATGTGTGGATCAGTATTTATTGAAAGCGCTGCTATCCCTTGTCACACATGAAGCTCGCCTGTCGGTCCAGTAATATAATATAAATTACAAGATAACTTAAACAAAAGATTTACTCGACCGTACCAATCCACATAAGAAGTCACCCCAATTCGCATTAATCCTGAAATCATCCACTAGACGAATTTACGATCCAAAACAAAATGACTTTCGTCCGTCCCACCATTCTATTTCCAATTGACCATATATATATAGGCATACCAATGATATAGCCATCAATATCGAATATTATATATACGAGTATACGAGCAGTAACGTAATCTGTAATAAATTCATATTTCCATTTGTATCAGCGTCCACGTGAAAAGCCAACAAATCGTAAAGTAGGCAGAACCAGTTCCACCATATTCGCAACAATGTTCCAATCATTGACGATTGTATCCAACCAACTGTCGATAGGGTCAAGTTAACGAGGGAGTGACCAGTGGTCAATCGATTTACCAGCACAGCAATAATCGGAGCAAGACGGCCGATAGGGGAAACTTGAAATGTTTTTCCAAGAGACACGAAACACCAACTGGAATTACGTACGAGTAAGCATTGCGTACTTGTCAGCATGTATGTAATTTATGCATGTTTATTTTACACAGTGGGATAAGCGTATAAGTCTAGTATAACACTGGTCAGACATGTTTGTCCAGAAGATGGACCCAATGCTTTTAACTATCACGGATGGACACGCACTCGACCACGTATTCCTAAGGCAGAAATAATTGAAGTGAAATAGAGAACAAATATTTATTATATGCATGCACCATGGCCACGTGTATTTATAAAACACAGAGTTCTACAAAAAAGTATGCATGAGCTGTCAAAAAAAAAAGTGAGTTAAATATATATCTTGAAGATGCAAAATATGCATGCAATATGTAGTGCGATATCTATATGTGTTAGACAAAAATATAAATTATTGTTATTGTTGTTTCAGATCCGAGTAATAATAAGGCTTTAATCAGAATTGCCAGGACTGAAGAAATATGGCTTTTTCAATTAAAGCGAAAACTCCTGTAACCTGTTTTAGGGATTCTAATAAAGGTGTCTAATTTATTTATAAGACCTGTACGAGCTGTTGACATTTAAGGTACGTACACAAATTTGTACCAAGCGTTACGTTCATCGGTAATGTAACGCATCTTATCGCCTATTGACTGTTACAGTTACTTGCAAATCGGCCGCTGTGGTTTCTGCCATGAAAACGACATAAAGAAACCAAAGAGTAGCCAGTGCGCCCGACGCGTTTCCTTAGCGGGACACGCGCTTTCGATTTACGCCACGCGACGTCAGCACGTGAAGTCGCGTGCGTACCGGAAGCGCACTAGGACACGTGGGCTCCGTACACTTCCTATGGAATAACATCGCTGATAAGTCATCAATATTATGACCCGCGTAAAATTCAAATGGATTCTCGACGTGAGTCACTGTGAGTAGGAGAATATTTTTTTTCTCGACACTTTCCAGAACGCCATTAGCCATTGTGAACGAAGCTTGCCGGACGTTTTATTCGTTGTACATTGTAACGAAGGGTCGTGCGTCTCCGGAGCCATTATCGTTCCTACGGGGAAAAAAAGGAGCGTTCACAAGTGGCGTTTACGCGAAACAAAATTTTGTACACTTCTTTTTCAGAGTAATTTGATCGATTTTTTTCTTCATAAATCTCAACCTCCAGACCGTAGCACTTTTCTTTGAGTTTTCCCAATTTTTGATATACTTCAGCGATACATTGTTTATTTGAATAAGTAACCAAAGTGTAGCAACCCATTCCGCGCCTATACATATAAAGATTAGGTCTAGAGGGTAATATGAAAAAAGGGCATGCAATGTTTTTTGGTAGTTTTTCATAAACTTTATATGTATGTATCGTCTCTCTCTTGTGTGCATTACATATTTTTATACTGCTTATTAGTATTTATATCTATATATTTTTATTGTGTTCAGGTGCTGAAGTCTATACGAATGAGTATCAAGGTCGTGTCCTGAGGTAATCTTGAATGACGCAGATACGACTCCAGGTGATGAGAAATGCATCCACAGTCTCATGCGTATGTGCACGCTTAAGGATATGGGGGGTCCCTTTTAGAATTGGCAACCAGGTGTGCATACCGGTACTTTAATCCACGTGGTAGATTGCCAATGAATTCGATGCCTTTTTACTCCACGTGAACTGGTTTTCTTTCTTTTCAATTTAAATTGCACAAATATCATTGCTCGTGCTAATAATAATAACACGTACTTGACAGTCTATGCAAAACTGAAGAAAAATATAAAATTATTGCGTAGCCAAAAGATTTTGTTTGTTTTAATACGAATTTAAATATTCTTTAATTTCATGTAGGAATTATATGTATTATGGGACGTTGTTCTTTATGATTTTGCATAAGACGAGACTGTTGTAATTTGCTAACAGTGTAATTTGCTAACAGTGACACAATTTTGGCATATTTTCCCATCTCCATCGAATCCCCAAGTGCAGATGGGAGGCTTGTCCCGGGTGCGAAGCCAGATTTCACTTTCTTAAGGGGGGAGATTGAAAAGGGTGCTCCTTACTCCCCTCTGAAAAACTAGGGAACCTGTGGGAACGTGGCTGCATAAAGAGCAGGCATCGGAAGGAATTACATAATGCAAGGAAGTCGGAAGAAACATTTTTAAGGGGTGCCACAATTCGGGCCACATGCGACTCAACACTGGTTAAGAATAGCCAATGGGGAAGGCCACGTGATCTACTTTTTCTCTACTCTTTCCCTTTCTTTTTTTGGACTTTTATTATTTTAAAAGAAGTGTGCAGGACGTGTGTAGATTTTTGAGATATGATTAGGGACAAGGCCAACCCTGTAACCTTTATTATGTTTTTTTATCAAACACGCACTGACATAACAATTAGTATTAACTAACACGGTTTAAAAATATTTAATTAAGCCACTGCTCCCTTATTGTTGATTATTTATAATTAAGTAAAAATAATATATCCGTTAGTTTATAAAAAATTTGTAAATAAGATAAGGAATAATTAAAAATTGTTATTACAAATTTGGTTAACTCATGAAAAACCTACATAGATATACAATGCAATGTGATAGGCAAGAAGCAAAGTAAAAGAAAGTCATTGTCACTACCATAAGCGGTAATTTCGATAAAATTCTTTTTAGTTTCCACGAAATCGTCATACTTTGCAAAAAAATATTTATGCGAATTATTCTAATTTTAAATTGCCACAATTTTAACTGACAATTCTACGAGTGTGGGGACTTACTTAGAATTTCATGATGTGTCAACTTAGTCGAGGATTATAATGTTTCGTATACCAGCATACGTTTTTTTATCTGGTTATAATCTAATGCCTGGGAAAATTAAAGGCAAATATCCTACTTAATCAACGCTGAAAAGTTAACAATTCGATTAGTCAGCGCGGTTCCCAGGCACACGCTATCAATAATCGTGTGAGCGCATAGTACGGGCAATTCCTGTGTGAATTTTATTGTCTACACCCCCTACTAACTCAACCCAGGACACCCTCGATCATCTCCCCACGTACCATGCACATATATACCGCATAGTATACACAAGCCAAAGACCCCTTCACTATCGCCACTAGAGTTACCAACATACGTAAGCAGTAGCGAGGGTGGTACCGAAGTGATTTCATGGTGGCACACATATCAATTTAAGGGATCAAGCGATGGACAAAAACGGTGGGATTTTCAGTTTATCAGTTATCAGCTAAGATTATCTGTTTCATTGAATATCTGTTATCAGATTGTATTTTTCGTCAAACATTTACATGGCAGTATTGAGTATTTGTGGAAGCTGTGATTATTTTTTATTAAACGTAATAATTATGTTTGAAGGTGACTAATTTTTTGTTTTACAGTATTCAAGCGGGATTAAAAATATATTTATTATAAATATATAGTTATTTATTATAAATATATATAGTAACTTTTGTGTTTAGTTTTACGTCCTCCTCTTACGTTCGAGCGCTCAGAATTCATCCGTAAATAATAAGGTCGAAGGGAGACACGCGTTCCCACGAAATCGGCTGGTCGCCCCTTCGATTTTTGGGCCCCTACCCTATATCCCTTCTCCATACAGTTAGAACCATCCCCACCAAAGGCCCTTTAACCCCCACCACGAAGGGTAGGTCGTGTGTCGTGCTCGTCCTCCCGCACACGACATACGTTGGCCGCCACGCGACCGGTGCACACGCATCCTGCCTCGTCCAGACATCGCCAACTGATCTGGCAGCCGCGCGTACGCTCACCCGGGTTTACTTTATTCGCTGAGAAAGGAAGAGGAAGTCTGTCGTCGCGTGTCTACTTGCGGATAATAACCAGACAAGTGTGTCAGACTTGTGCGCGGTCGGCGTTGCTCTTTTTCAAGTTCATTACATTCAATTGTTACGACTGCTACTTAACCTCGAAACTACTTAAGACCGAATAAAAGATTTTCTTCGGTTTTTAAGAACATCGTATCAATCTATTCGACTCGTGGGAGGTTACGTGAAGACAGACTTGTGAACTAACCTGCTTGAGGACTCGCATATACCAAGTGTCGTAAAATTTAATACTTCAAAACGAAATGACAGTTTTCTCATTTTCCGTTACAATGAATTTCAAACTGTGTGGCAGATAACGTTTTTCGAATGAAGCGTCTTTATCGATAGTGCAAATCACATATCAGTCACATACTGATTTCTTCGACTTGGTTATAATTAATAAAATCTTTAATTAACAATGTGGAGAGTAGTAGTAGCTCGCTCGGATGATAACAGTACTTTACTGTCGTCTGAAATCACTAGTGGTTCGGTCGCTCAAGGACATCTTCCAACGCTCTCTGGACCACCTGCACCTCATCACTGGGGTTATCCACCACCGCCGCATCCGCCTTATCAGCCGCAGCCTCATCCTGACATGCGTCATCATCACGATATGCGAGCAGATCTAAGACTTTCGTCTTCCGGTGAATTGAGACCTGAACTTAGGCACGACATGCAACGACCTGAACTACGTCACGAGATGCAGAGGCCAGAAGTCAGACATGAAATGCATAGGCCGGAACTAAGACACGATATGCATAGACCTGAACTTAGGCACGAGATGCACCGACCTGAAGTACGTCACGAAATGCAACGGACTGACATCAGACACGAGATGACTGGCATGAGGACGGATCTAACGGAATTACGACCGAGTCATGAATTACCTGAACTCAAAATAGATGTCACGGAACTGAGAACGCAAGAGAGTCAGCAGCAGACACAACAACAGGTACAACAACAAGCACAGCAACAGCAGAATCAGTCGCAGAATCAGGCTAGTCAGCAAAGAAACATGAAAAGGACTATGAGCGATTCTGATTGTGATGATGTCTTCTCCGAAGAGAGTGGAAAGGAGCCGTAAGTAAATTTATTATCGTTATTATTATAGCGTGGCAGATGCTTGAGCTTCTAATTTGCACATGGGGTAAACAGATGAAAATAATATTCTGCATATAGTACGTAACACGAGTAGACTGACCAGTAGTAACAGATTTATACAAGTATCGGTAGAAATTGTTTTGATTGCAATCTATGAATATTTATATGGTCAAAAGCTTTTTATGGATGGCATATGGCGTGGCTGACCCTCGCATAATAATGAGCTAGCAATTATTATGATATTGTAACTTTAACAGAGACTTCAGTACGAATGTAAAGGTTTCAGTAATTGACTCGCGAAGAGAATAAATTAGCCTCTTTTTACTTTTACTCGCTTTGCGATAAATTATTTTAAAAAGTACAATATTCAATTAATTTCGATATTTTACCGTTTCCGTATTTTTTTTTTTTTAACGGCAATATGATGGCGCCTCATAAATGTACTGTAATTGACTAATGGACTAATTAACCGTTTCGTCTGTCTGTTAAGGTGCAATTCTCCAGGGGGTGATTCCTGTCAACATGCTTCCCGCAAACGACGAAGGGGGATGATCGAGAAGAAACGTCGCGACAGAATAAACGCATCCCTTGGCGAACTTCGTAGATTGGTTCCAGCAGCGGCGAGGGATCCTCATAGCGGAAAATTGGAAAAGGCGGAAATCCTTCAGCTCACCGTCGAGCATCTTCGAACCTTGAGGAATAAGGGTGAGTTGGGAGATAAAAGAAATTGGAATATCAAAGTGATCGGATGGGGGATGTATATACGTAAAAGTATACATATACCAGAAATTTGATTGAATTTCAAAAAAAAATAACATTTTTTTTGTTCAACAAATCGCAACCACTTTCGATTGAATAACATTACCCAAATCTTACACCGAAGACGTGAATAAATTTCTTGAACAGGATTCCAAGCAGAACTGTTTCTTTAACGGTTTTCAAGGACGCAATTTCACGTACCGGAAATGACATTGTACGTCCGTTAGATGCACCACATAACATCCTGGCACAATGAAATCGCATCCTGTTTTCCTCGGGGTGATTTTTTTCTTTTCAAAATCCTTCCTTGATTTAACCCTTACAAGATTCTCCATTGTATCTACGGAACAGGAAGTAGGCGGTGGCACAAGGAAGTGTGTTCCTCCAATTACAAAGGAAATCGTACAAGATCAGATCTTCCCGTTCGGTTAATCTAATTAATACTTCGCACTCTGTCGATCAAGGAAAATAAAATCAATTAGTCAATCTTTAGCTTCCCTATAGATAAATTGATTATTAAAGATTATAGAGATGACAGTTCTTTTAATAAAAAAAAAAGTCTTTCGCGTGTTCTCCGTTTATAAAGAAACAAATGCAAATTTCAACGTTTCTATGTATATGCACAAGTCACGCCCGTAACCTGTGCTTGCCCACTTGGTCGTTCAAAAGTAACATTTTGCTTCCTCTCGACCGGAAGACACCTGTTGACCGTGAAGGATGGCGAGGGAGCAGCCTACAGGGTGCAAGCCAACTAACAGTAACCCGATAACCGAACTACCATCTGGTGTGCCTACCTTTCCTTGTCGCTAATTCGAAATAGATCCTTTCCCATGAATTAGAAACAAGTCGAGCTCTATATTCTGTTAAGAATAAAGGAAAGCTCGTTGAAAACGTGCATAGACCAAATGAAAAAAATACAAATAAAATACAGGCTGACGATGCGTGGTAAATTTTGAATTAAAGAGAGAACAGCATACGAAAACAAGCGTTATGGAAAATAACGATAAGAATCTGAAAAAGTGTGAATTGAGGTAAAAAGAGAAAAGGGGAAAAAAATTGAAAAGCAAAGAAAAAGTTTGAAAAATCTATTCATTCAGAAAAACATCTCTCGCTTCACTGGCTGCGTGTCCACATGGCGAATCTGTCAGGATGGGTAAGCCCGGTGTATGGGCATTCAGAGAATTTCTATCTGCGTCAGTGCGAAGGAGTCCCGCTACCCACTAAGCTTTTGGGGAGCAGGTGCTGGACCTAGCTGAGATCCTGTGGGAAGCACAGGAAGTCAAGAACTCTTCCGAGTGGGATTCCCACGATTGGTGGGGGCACAGGAGTTCCTGAGGGGGATGAACGAGAGTGCCAGAGAGAATGGGGAATGGGTCGTGGGGGAATCCTGCGAGGTTCACAAAAGTGGGGAGGGGTGACCGGGCTAGGTGCCACGGGGCAGATGTGAGAACCCTGTGGGAAACCAGCTACTACTACCTTGGTATTACTCGGGAATTATTCTATGGCGTTGTTTGTAAACGGTACAAGGGAAGCTTTAAGCTCTTGAGAAGGTGGAAACGTGATAATGGATTCAATATTCTCAATTGCCAGAAAATATCACAGAGCTTTGACGTACACAATAAAGTCTATACCGAGTATCCTATTGTTAGTAAATAATTTTCAGAATCCATTTAAAGCGTACTTAATACACGTTAAAAAAAAGATAGTAAAACTAACTCGATAGTAAAACATCGCTCCTAACCTCCAAATTCTGTACGGTGCATCTCCGATAAGGAAACCTTTGGCAGTGTACTTGGGATATATCCGTATAAATTAATGTTTCATGAAAACAGAGTATAGCGATTGTTAAAAGTGACGTTCGACATTAGCCGATGCTAATCTTCGTATCCTGCTGGTTTGATTACTCCTGTTTTTTATTCACAGAGTGTCCACACGGTGCATGGCATTATGGGATATTATGCAAGGACACTGCCCGTATAGTGTATGGGTTATGTTAGTCCCATGGGGGTCTAAACGGTTCCCACGCTACCTGTCCCTTTCCCCATGGTATAAATACCCGGCTGCAAGGCAAGTCCTCGAAACCGACACGCACAAAGGCCGTAATATGCATTCGGCCAAAAGTGCCATTAACCTATTCCCCCATAAAAATAATTTTCATAGAAAGACGTTAATTAAGTGCCACAAACAAGGCACAAGACAGTATTGTCCTTTGGATATATTTATGAGTCGTTTTCTCATTTTTTTTGGTCTTCTTTTTGCTTCCAGGTCCTGAAGGATATGACATCGACTACCGTGCCGTCGGTTGGGGCGAATGCGCAGCCGAAGTGGGACGTTATCTAGTGACAATGGAAGGCTTGGATGAAAGAGATCCTTTGAGACTTCGTTTACTTTCCCACCTTCAAAGTTTCCATAGAGAACATCAACCTCCAGGGCCCGTTGTACCTACAGCGACGTCCTTGACCTCCACGTCAACAGCTACCAGCTATGATCCACCTAGTTCAGCTGCTACGGGGATGCCATCCGCTGCAGGAAGTATGCCGCCACTTCTAGGTGGTGGTCCACTTGGCTGGGGACAGTATCCTGGACAATATCCTCAGCAGCAACATGGAAAGCCATACAGACCCTGGGGTGCTGAACTAGCATACTAGGTATTAGAACAGAAGGCGCTGGACTAGGAGCGTAGCCAAAGAAATAATAAAAACCGACGTCATCTCTCTACATGGTATGCTAGTACAGGAGCTGTCAAGTAAATGTCCTGTGAACGTCTCGCCGGAAACGGAAGTCATGACAAAAAAAGGTGCCGTAATACGGACCGAACGAACTGACCGGGTACGAGTGGCTGGTACAAAAAATATTGGCCGAACACCTCCTGTGTCCCTGATGTGGTTTCCTGGGATTCCGTTTGTCAAGTGACCGTTAAACTGAAAAGCACATGTGTAGATTAAGATCTTTTTAATTTTTTTTTTAGTTAATCGCGTATTTATTTTACCTGTAAATATATTTATACGACGCATTGCGTACGACGCGAGAGTAAGTTTTTGCCAGAAGCGTTTTGCGTCGTTAACGTCTCAGGAATCGATAGACGACTTTTAATCACTGAAGGAACTAGATGAAAATATTATATGAGTGATAATACGATAGTCATACCAGTACCTTATGGAAAATAAAAAAAAATATTTATTTAAGCTTCACTAATTTTAAGATGGATCATGGTGCTCTTGGTAGCATCTTCAGATACTGTACAGTGTATAATTGTATATAGCCATATTTAGTGCTCAAAAACGTTCGAATTCTCTGGGAGGAGTTTATCACGAATTTTTCGAGACTGAAATAAATGATAATGTAAAATTGAGGATCGCTATATAACTCCAGGATATGCCATTACATATCGACGTATACGTGTGAGAAAGCGCTTTAATATTTTTGCAATACGAACTTTGTAATAAACCAACATGGGGTTTAAAGTATGTAATATAAACTTTTTTTAATTTGCTCATCCGATCCCCTCATCAATTACTCATTGTGGTTAATCATTCCTCGATATACTAGCCTGCTGTCTTCTTACTTTACTAATTACCCCAAGACAGACTTATTCAATTTGTAATTCAGCTGATCGGCTTAACGACAATCACAATTGTCGCATTACTTGTGCGCATGCGCAGTCGTTAACTTTACGACGAATGACTTGTAGCTTCGCTCTAACCTATCGTAGAATTTTGTAAATCGTTCGAGCCATCTCTTTTACGCAACTATATTATTCGATCGAATCCGGCCTTCCTACGCAACAAAACGAAACTACCTGAAGTATTTCGTGCGGCTGTTTATAGATCGACTGACTTTCGAAACTGCGAGGAACAAAAATCTATAGAAGAGCAAATGGCTACCGTACGTACTGGCCTCTCTGTCGCATAGACGAAGAGACTCTTGTTCCTTTCTCATGGTAAAACCCCATTCGCATGCAGCTACTAAATCCTCTATAGACACTGAAAACATCTAGAACACTCCCTTCGTTTCGCATTATGCGTAAACCAGTTCCCTTACTCGTTAGTTTTGCATGCCGCACTTCAACCAAAAAGGTTATTCATGCAAAATGCAAAAAAAACATGGCGTCCTACAGCCAAGGGGCACGCAAGCAGGGAGGAAGTGGAAGAAGCAGAAAAAAATAAAATAGGGAGACCGGTAGTAATTACAGGTTGACCGTGGGCGCGAACTCGTTCTTCACTAACAAATTTTCATAGAATTAGGAATACTGTAGGACACGTGTCTATTATACTCAACTTGCAGCTTGCAGAATTTCAATTCACGGCGGCTCTTTGTTAAACGCTTTGACAATGTTATATCTTTCCTAATTATCTTTTACGAGACACGTGCACCTACCAATTACCAGAATGTCGCTAATCAACACGTAGTGCTACTAATCACTATGAAATGTGTCAATCATTCTTCATTTCACTTATCTGACAATATTTCAATATTTCATACATAGCCTTATATTTGTATAATGAAAAAAGACAATAATATATTTTCAATAAAGTTAATTTATTTTCATCTCATCTCGTGTCAATTATAAATTCACAGCCTTAATTAATTATCTGTCTATATACATATAAATCTGTCTCTAATATACATTGACTATAATAATCTTATTTACAAAGTTGTCAGGGAAAATACATATATCCATATAATATTGTGTGGACACACATAATATGCATACAGTTTATCTTTTTTTTTTTCAAAAATCTAGTTGAGCAAAGGTTCTTAGGTACCTTTTCATAATAGGATTAATATTGATCTCAAGAACGATCGATATATCTGTTATTGCGTTTTACGTCGTTCTTCTCGTTAATGAGATGTACTTTTGTCAAGAATTATCAAACCGGAACTACTGGTGACATCGCGGATCAGTGACGCGTCTAGAGACAAGTAATTTTTAGAAAAAGAAAATAATTCATCGACACACCTACACCGATTGAAAATTTCCATTGAAAAGGACGACTAATCTTATTACATTACAGCAATGTATAACGTCAGCTCTTTTGTACCATGTTGTGTCAAGATTTTTCTCATTTTTGTTTGATTGATTATTCGAATGATAGATACGTGGCTCGGGATGATAATGAGGAATTAAATGCTAATTCGTTTTTTTATATGAGAAACGACTGAAGAAGGGCGTCAGACCAACCTAACTTGCAAACGAAGTAATCAATCGATAGGATGCGAAGGATGCAAAAGACTGGAAAAGAGATAGAAGAGAAATTGGAAAAGTCCAGCAGGACATTTTTCAATATTTAAATTCACAAGAGAACTTCAGCGACGTATCTAGGTAAACAAGATACGCTTATGAGCCACAAACTCTACGTATTGTCAGACGAAAATTAAACATCGTGTGGTAATGCAATACGTAAGTCATATACACTACTAATAGTGGCCGAGTAATTAAAGTCGATATTTCTTGCAAGAAATAAATAAAAGCTGTTATCTCGTATTTAAAGATACTTAAAATTAATATTTATACAAATAATCTCTTGTTGCGTTCTTCTTCTTAGAGGAATCTCCACTCGGAACCGAATCGTCGAAAATTCTGGTTTTGCTTTCTCCCAAGCAAATATTCCAATCTTTTATGTGATATGTGGAGACAGAGTTGTCAGCTTGTGACGTAACGAATTATGCGATATCAGCAGTGAAAAATTAACGAGTTAACGCCGAGTGGGAAGATCCGCTACTTGATTTTAAAATTTTCACCCATATTTTCATTTCTTTGATTGCGGCGGGAATTTCAAAACGTAAGTGTAAGACGATACGAGTGGACTTATGCAAAAGTTATGAACTAAATTATCATTTCGTTTTCGCGATTTTCATTCTTTTGATTTTCCTCGTACTCCTTACAGCAACAACATCTTGATTCATTATCCTCCAGTCCTTCTACCACATACGTCACATATGTGTCGACGCTCTTGGTGTCCAGAGACGTCAAAGACCAGGACAAGGACATCTCCTCGTGATCCGGAATTATCGATGGCCAGGATGTCGCTGATGTCACGTCGGTATTTGAATTTTGAGATTTCTTTACCATGGGCTTTTTTGTAGACAATTTTTTGATGGCCTAAAATAGCAAAACAAAAAATTGTTTTAACTTCTGTTCTTTTTACTGCGTAAGCTACTGTCTTCGTATTGTACTAGTCAGGAAATTGAGAAAGAAAAAAAATTCATAAATTGGATTAGAACGTGTTGGTGTTAACGGGGAATTGCAAAGAGAAAAAAAAAAATTGAACAGTTTATGCGAAATCGATAACGTTCTGTTAAACTGTGCCACATATGTATATATGCAGTGGGGTTATACATATATATACATAGATGTATGGTTTGCACGCTATGCGGTATGTATGTTACTGGACGTCATAGTTACGATAGATTACTTATTGTTTTCGATATTCGAGAACGTGGACAAATTATTATTAGTTTACGCAAATTGGCATGACAAATGTATTTCCAATGCAATTTAATGTCGATTGTTCCTATCAATTTCGATGGGATAATCAAAATAATTTACGAGCAATTAATACAGTTGTGGAAATTTTGAACTCTCGATTTTGAAAGGTCAGTTTATCCGCTTCATGTGAAATCCATATGATTGCATTCAGATGGGATATATATTAGTGAGACCTTTACGGTATATAAAATTTTCCCACGAAAATTCAACTACGACTGACGAGGGTCAGAAAGTCTGAATAGTTTAATAAACTGCCCCGTGACAAGCGAGCATCCCTTGATTTCATAGAGATTTTCGTAATTCTCATTGATTTGGCAAACAAATATATTTTAATCGTCAAAAATTCAATTAATAATAATTCGATAACATACGAAAAAAGAAAACAAAATAAAAATATGTATAATCCACAAAAATTCAAACTCACCCTCAAAATTCTTCTGCCAGATTTAGTAAGCACCTTTTTCAACATATTCGAGTAGTTCGAAGATTGTAAGAAGAGTAAATCGTAAGTTTCTTCAAGATGCGAAAAAACGATGATTTATTAACGAATGAGTTGCCACAGGTGCAGAGACCAATTATAAATCAATCGCGTAAACTCTTCAAGTTACAAGAACGACAGTACCGTGATATCAATCGAATGATAACAGTCTATTTGTCGCAAGTCAAAAATTTCCCTAAACACGACGTATCCTCGTTGACGTCCTACGTCGAAATGCTAGCTCTTCCTGTGGCGGCACCCCTATTTATAAGCTCCCCACCCCCGCTTATCAAAAAGCCAGCCACCCCACCGTCACCGTCCTCAGGGGTGGATCGAGCATGTCGATATAACAGGGGACCCAGCCAGCTTTAATATTTGTAAGTGAATCCATGTAATCATAATGTGCCAACCCCAATCGTCCGCCCTCATCCAGGAGTAACCAATGGTCCATGGGAACTATAACCCTGTAAAAGAGACCAGAGAAGAATTCAAATCGAATTAATGCACAAGTGATTGATCTGAGACCCAATCAAATAGCAACCTTCGAATCACACCTTATTGAACTTGTGATAATTTAATTGAATCTTATTTACCTAGATTGAACCTACCCTTGCGTTATACATAGGACTATACAATTTTTATATTACATTCAGTCACTGCCCCAGTGACTATGTAAATACGTCACTACGACGGATCGTTAATCCAACCGCCTACTAGAAATGCATGGGGCTGTAAGCCTCAGTTTGCAAAATCTTTATCAAAAGTCAAATTACATGGTCCAAGAAATTTGTAACTGGCATACATATCACCTTGGATTCTCAACCGCCTAAAAAGTTTGTATCCCCCATCATCTTATTGTATGTAATAATTTATTCATCCCTTAAAAAGAAAATTTCAAGTACACCAAACAATCTTAGGATTTTTAATTTAAAAAACTATTTGAATCTCTATTTCTTTTGGAGTTTGATTATATGTATATATTTTTTATCATACTTTTTATTTTCTTCCAGGAAGGATGTCCTCGTGATGACTTTCTCATGTCTTCGTTTGCATGGAGATACCATTCTCTATTTTTATACATGATTTTCAAATCGATATCATCCAAAAGAAGGGAATCCTAAATCATATTTTCCCTTGGACGTCTGTATGGGACTCGTGCGTGTGAAGCGTGTGAGCGACGCCGTTCTCACGCGACGCCACGCGTCGCTTTCGCCCCTTGATCCACGTTGCCACGTGCCGTCTGATATACTCACGGAAACTCATAATTGTCATAACATCGTTCTCTGTTCTTCCTTTCTACTGCATCTAACGAGTATCTACCAATCGGCAGAACGAGTGCGTTTACTTATCAGCATATACGCCTGCGGTAACCTGGAACAAAAGGATTAAATAATTTATTAAATTTTATATAAAATTTTTCAAAAATATACGAATTTTATTTTGGCGACGATTTGAACGAAATCGTTATTATCGACTGTCTTTGACCATGTTGGGATATGAAATATTCCTTGGGATTTATTACTTCAAAATATTCTTCACTGTCGCGTTGATCTTACTTCTTTTTTTTTTTCAATTTTCAATTCAGTCTCTGGAAAATATTTTAAACCTTTCTTTAGACGTTGCGCACTTCCAAGGAATTAATGAAAATCTTCCACTTGCTTATACACGATATTTACCATGTAAGGCTTTGAACCTGTGATTGACTAAAGCCTCTCAATTTCCAACGATGGAAAATTGCTCATTGATCTTCTAAGTGAACACGTTACGAATTACGTTTTTCACGTGTTAATCTGTATTGTTTCAGTGATCGATCTATGGCGATTCGGACTGTTTTGTTTTTAAGTTATGCATAGCATTCTTTTTCTTTCGATAGGGGCTGGATGCCACTTATAGAATTGGTAAACTGTCATATTTAAAAAAAATATATTGATTCCATGCTATTATTATAATCGCAGTATTCCAGTCAATAACGTATCTCGTGTGGACGTTATATATAGAATACATAGTTTATATACGTAAATTTAATCCATATATAAAATAAGCTTTTCGTTCTTGTATATATTCCCCTTGTAGACGCACGCGTCTTATTATTACGATTTTTTTCGTTTTTTTTATACTTGGTAACCCAAGTAACCAAATCGCTAAAGGCACGTGGCAGATGTAGTACAATACCCGAGTAAAATGCAACAGCGTAAGCTTAAAAAAAATAATTATTGATTATCGAATTTTTTTTAATTTTCAAATATATCCGTGTGTATAGTATGCTTGCTTGTTGAATTTACAAATTTTTGTATATTTTAAACAATCTTTTATGTAGTAGCAGGAATTATGTACCGGCACAAATCTGATTATGAAAAAAATTAATTTCAGACACAAGCGCACAATTTTATCGAATTATGACAAATCTTTTACGCCATTGCGCTTATGTATTTCTATATAGACGTAAGACTACACCCGTTATTCTCTAGCTGGTGCAAGCCTGTCTAATAATTTTCAAGGGAAACAATTGCGAACGGCTATGAGGTAACGATCGGCGCGTGTCGCTCACGTGGCTTAAATGTGGCTCAAACACATATCAGCCCCATGATCGTATTCAAACAAAATAAGGCTCGCCTAATTGCGATGGCCGTTCCATTAGAGATTAAACTTCAAAAGAGAACGAAAGCTGGGTTAATTAATGCGGTGCACTCGGTTTTGTATCGAATTACCGTTTTTATTGTTATAAAGAACTCACAAGATGCTTCAAAAGCCAACAGAGTGTTTGTTTTGAAATCCAACATGGCGACTGTATATTAAATATTTCAAATCAATACAGAGACTAAAATTAACTAAGCTCATACCACCAATTACGCGAGAATCATGTAAATTCTGCAAATTATAATTCTCTTTGAAAATTCCTCGAAATTTCAAATTTATGTATGAGCAAGGATCAGTCAATAACCTAGTTCAAAAGGACAGACTGTCAACGAGCTTCCATAGACATCAGCTTCCAACCAATAGTTTCAACAGGGTGTTATCTAATGAGGGTTAAAGGCTCGAGCAGATCCTGATCAATGACTAATCGTCACGTAAGTCCCCTAGACTTTTATAAATGTAACGATCGTACCTACCATTACTGAGAATTCACAAAGCTGTAGTTGTCACTGTTGTTGTCGTCGATCCATTGTTTGTCAGCCTTGTTGATTTCGGAGTAAATATTTGAAAGAACGAGATTGCGACTTGTGGCACGTAACGTTGTTTGTGTTTGTTTGTATCAAGTTCTGCAACTCAAAGCCTAACGTACGTTCCAGGTATGTATTTATATGCTTCTTTTATATCGCCTTTTATCCCAAAGTGATAGCCAGTTTGCAGAATATCTTATTCTATGAATATTCAATACAATGTACTGCACCATTTCTTTCAATTCGCTCACATACATCGTCTGTTACGCGTTGCCTTTAGACGCATATCCAGTACTAGTGTAGTTCCTCGCGCCGCCGCATTGCTCTACAATTAGCCGGTATTCATGGTCACTGTTTAAGACAAAGCACGGTCTTTCGATTCGTATCACGCATATTGTCAAAATTTACGTACAATTTATACCGACTGTATGGGTTATGTTGCATGTTATATGGTACTCTGATAAGTATTCCTGAATTTACGTTTTGTATCAAGAGTCTCAGTTGAGTCTCGTGCAAAGTACAGGAAATCGGCGGTAAATGCTTTCGAGGTTTCCTTATCTGCTTTTGTTTTAAATCTTGCTTCGTCTACTGGACAATCGCCCCGGATCAAAAATTTAGCACTGATTTCAACGTATTTATTCTACAAGTAGACATTGCGACTGATAAGATTATGGGATAGGGAAGGTCAAGTGAGTTAAGAAAAATTTGAATCTCAAACTGTTAGTTATGTTCAAAAATTGTGAATTTAAGTTTAAAATGGTGTTGGTGTGTAAAGTCCTTTAAGAGTGGCTTTTTTTACTACTAACTCCTTGACTTCAAACTCACCGAACCCGCCCACTCCTGCCAGCAATATTTTACTGTCACGAACGTTCGACCTTGAAGGTTAAGTTGTGATTAGACAAAAAGGATGGTTTGATTGTTCGGTATACTGATTCAGCTTTTATGATTTTAAATTGTGATACAATTTATTTTTTCGCGCCTGAACACCCTCGGACTCCAAGTGTGTTGTGCCGCCTGATCTGACAGCTCAATTAGAGACATTCGTCCCATTTGCCTATCGACCGTGAAGCATGTAGCCCGGTTGTTAGAAACAGAAATTCTGACCCAACAATTGAACACTGGTGAGTATTTAATAAACTTCTAGTAGTAAATCCATATTATTTGTATTTCAAGAATACGGGTTACGCACCAAACCCATGAGGCTTTCATTCATCATATCAACGTCCGAGGAAATTAAGAATAGTTTTCCTAAAGATAAATGACAAATCTTTCATTAAAATCAATCAAGCGACTTACCACCACATGATCATGTGAATCGCGTCAATGGAGAAATACTTCTTTAGGCATAAGTCTGTACTTACTCAAATCGTGTATTCTTAGTGTGATTTTAATTCCTCCATCTATGAACTACAGTCGGGCCACAGCAATTCCATTTGAAAGGATCTTATTTACGTTTTGGTTCGTAATTAGATGGCATCTCAAAGTGGTAATTGATGTCGCATCCCGACTATAAAATATTCGAGATAAGGCAGCAGCCAATTCAAATTGTAAACACCTATGGGACGTCGATCTATGTTAGGTTTTCATTTATTTTTAATGATTTGGTAGGATTATTTGTAAGCAATTCTTACATGTGACAACTGCAGTTCTAGTCAGGAATGTTGAAAGCAAATTGTATATATTCTGATTTTGGTATCTTGGATAAGTGTCAGAAGTTCTTGGTATATTTGGTATACATATAGTATAATGATTCATACACGGTTTAGTAGTTTAAGTTATTAATGACGTAATGACTCAACTGTTGAACTCTGAACTCTATCTTCAATACCATGCCTTGAACTTCAACCATACAACGACTTTTCTCTCAATCCCTTAACCAACAATACAACAGCACCCTCGACTGGGTCTTTCGATATTCTTTTCAACTGTATCGATTGACAAATTTATATTCGATTATCAATACTACCAATAGCACTTTGCAATTTCAATTTTTTGGAATTGTAGTCGAGATTTTTTGTCTTATTGTTTTATTTATAATATAAATTAATGTTATTTCATATATTAGGAAAGATGGAAACAATAATTACGCTGGATCAAGAGACGATAGATCATATGAGCTATTTGGTACCGACT